ACATTTCCTCACAGCACAATATAAGCTGATTATAGAAAATGACTTTCATTGGTGGATTGGTGCAAACCAGGTACCAGAGGTCCTGCAGGAAGGGACGTGTTAATGCAGGGGGAGCTTAAAATGTCCTGGAGAAAAGGTTTCATTTTATACCTGAAAAAAGTTTGTACAACTGACCGTAGACTGACCAGCATCCCTGTAACCACATTCACTATTGCATTCTCCTTTCAAAAACCTCAAATTGATTCATGTAACTAACCAAGTACATAGGATTTACTCAGGTAAAACAAACAAATACTTGGTCACAATACCGTGTTTGCACTATAATAGAATAAAACAACAATTCAATGTGTTGTGGAAAATTTTCTTTTTCAATTCAATTCAAATCGTTTATTTCTATAGCGCCAAATTAACAACACGTCATCTGAAGGCACTTTCCAGTTCACCAGATCATCCAGTCAAGTAGATTCAAAGTTTTCTATCTCAGGAAAACCAGTTGATTGCATCGACTCGTTGACTCAAATACAATCCCTCACACTAAGCATGCTTGTAGCGACAGTGGACAGGAAAAACTCCCTTTGAACAGGAAGAAACCTCCAGCAGAACCAGGCTCAGTGTGAGCGGCCATCTGCTGAGGCCCGCTGGGGTTCAAGGAGACAGAAGCAGAGACACAAAGAGCAGCTGTTAACGTCCAGGAAACACACAGCCAGGCAGACGAGCTCCGAGCCAGCTCCCATGTCAGAGGATGAAGAGAGCACATCCAGTTAGTCACAGTCAGAGAAACAGGACTACACTGGAAAACAGGCCAAGCTCCAACATCTAGAAACAAAGGTGTTGATGGCAGCAGCACAGCTGATATTTCTCTCCAGGATGGAGTCACAGCCAAACAGGAACAGACCAGATGAAGCTACTATGAGAAAAAGCAGAGAGAGCAGAACGTTAGAGATTGAACTAACAGATTCTGCAGAGTGGGAGAATAGAGATAGAATGATGAAATTGTTTTTTCCAGGTGGATCATCAAACTTTGTGGTGCTCCTAACTGTCAGTCATTCTCGTGGGCTTTTGCACGCTCTCACACACGTTTAATAGGGATTTGATCTCGGAAGCGGGTTCAGGGTTGTGCATGTGCATTTTTTTCTAAGCTGGAGAGGGCGGGTCTTTTCAAAAATCGAAAATCCTTCACAATACATTTAATACCAATATTAGCACCGCAACAGATATATAAAATCACTTTTTTGTATATCAGATTCCTTAAATCTCTATTCTTTATGTTTTATCTATCATCTGTATATATTTTTTGTTTTTGCCCGACTTTGTACAATTATTTCTTTGATGCACCTTTTCCTGTTGTTTACTAGAGCTGATGTAACAAGTGAATTTCTCCCTTGTGAGATCAATAAAATCCTATTTTGTCTTAATTCCCTGAATCTTTCATGCAGGGATCGCCATAGGAACCAGGAAACAGTAGTAACGAGTTACCAGGTCCACCTCAGACCTATAGTCTCTACACTAAAACTGGGAGACAGTCTGATATCAGGTTGGTGGGATTCAGCTGTTTTTGACTTGGAGACAGAGGAACCGTTGTTCCTTCTGGGAAAACTCTTTCCCTGTAGAGATCTGGAGCTGATGTCTTCACCAATGTTGATGGTTCACTGCTGTCTCTTCTGGTTCCTCTGCTGCTTCTCATTAGGGACAGTTTTATCTCCTAACTTATGATAACTGGTTTTTCTCTGAGGAGTCCGACTCCATCCAACTGCCGTTGATCCGTCTCCATCCTCATGAAGCCTCTAAGCCTGCTATGCGACTCAAAGAGATACATCTCCATAATGAGGAGGGTTCATTAGATCTGATCCCAGCAGAGTGCTGCTCCTATGAATGTGCTGTGAGCACACTGGGTCAGGTGAATGCCCTGCAGTGTTAATAATGTGTCTGAATTCTCCTGCAGCCTGAGAAAACACCAGCAGTTCGAGCAGAGGGGGGGGGGGGGGGGGGGGGAGGAGGGGCTGTAGGGATCATTCAGGAAACTAACCATGAATTAGAAACCCTGGGACTTGGGAAATAGTAAATATTTGAACTGAATGAAGGAAGTCGTTGTCCAGCTTTAATATTAAAGCACGCTCCTTAAAGAGCAGAGTTTCTTAGGTTGTTCAGTTGATGTGACATAACCACAGCAAGATGGGAAAGGATGTCTTCTTTCTTCTACTAAACCAAATAGCAAGAAGCAAGGAGAACCTAGAGAAACCATTGTTCGGTTACCAATGGTGTCTCAGCAATCTGCTTCTCTTGGCTCAGAGGCTTCTAGGATCAATCGTCACACTGTAGGAATATAGACCACCATGGTCCAGGTGGATTAAAGCTACAGATGTTTTTGGAGAAGAAGCAACAACTCCCTGCAATCAGGGTCAGGGACGACAGGAGGTTGTATCATGGTATGGGCTTGTATATTTTCCACCTCTGTGATGGTAGCATTACTGCCAATAAGTCTAGAATTCTTAGAAAAATATCTGCTGTTTTTAGGACCACGTGTTAACGGTCTGACAGAGAATCTGATTATTCAACCAGACACAGTGTCCACAAGTCCACTTGATGACAAAAGCTGATGAGAATCCAATGAGTACATGGCGAGAAAGCAAGACAGGAAGACATGGTTTCACAAGCACTGGAACGAACCTTGTGCAGGCAAGAAGACAATCTGGCAGAGACCGAATGAGAGAGACAGGTAGTAATAGTAATAATAACATCTGGGAGGGAGTAGGGGAAAGACAGGTGGTAGGTAGGTAGGTAGGTTGTACCTCTGATTGACAGTTTGTATGCTAACGTGAATGGTTCATTCAAGGTGTTCAAGTTGAGAACTTTAATCAGAACCCCACAGAAGGTCAGATGATCTCATCAGTGTTTCACAATTTCTGCTTTATTCTCCTCACTAGTTATTAATTTTGTAAGTTTTTAATTAAGACCAAAATACACAGGGCACACTCTATTTTGAGGTTACCTTTTTCTGAGCTCCAAGTTCCACCTTTCAGTGTGAACAAAAATAAACTTTAAAAATAGGAACTGGTTGGTAACAAAAGCCTTTTAATGGTGGAAATTAATATATTTAAGCATGATCCCCAAAGTTTAGCAAAACAGAATCCTCAAAGACCGGGCAGTCCAAAAAGCATGGAAGGAGAAATGTCCCAGGCTGCGTGTTAATATGGACCCTGATGATGTTGCAGCTCCAGCAGAGACGGAAGACATTCTTTTCAAAATTGGGAGGAAACCTGGAGGAAAGATAATTTCACATACATGGAATCATCAGTTTAACTTTTGAGTTCGAAGCCATCTGCCTCTATTAAGTCAACATAATGCACTTTTCCAGTTTTTTTTTCTATGTTTATGTTAAGCACTTTAAATTAAACTTGCTCTGCCTGTGGAGCACGTCGTAGGCTGAGATGCAGGAGCGGGCACTCACACTGATCCTGGTTCTGGAGGAGAGTTTATCACAGCATGTTAGCTGCAGACGGATCCGCCTCAGACTCAATGTGAGTTTAAACAGCTGCATATGTTGACAGCCACACACACACACACACACACACACTGATTAAAGAGAAGACGATTCTCTGATTGCACCGTATACTGCTCAGACTCTGAACATACATGCCTTATTCAAAACTGAGCCGCAGCTTCCTGAAGGTGATCCGTGAAAGCTCAACAAGAGGTCACCCAGCTGTCTGTCTCTGTGGTTGCCATGACGACCGTGTCTTTATGTCCAGTAATTGGATTACTGGTGGGTGTAGCCCACTCATAGTGATGTTTCTCTGGAGGTTCAGGTACATTTTGTCAGTGCTTCCTCTAATAAGACCTCAGCTCCTTTCTGATTGGCTATCCACTGGATCAATGATGTTTATTGGTTCCCAGGATCTAATGTAGACCATAAAGTGCTTCCAAGATACCTCTGGAGATTAGCTGTCCTGAAGAAGTCCTTCTTTTTGAGGAATTTTAGAGGCAGCTGTGAAAGTTGGGATCTGTTCTGGTAGTCGGGATGCATCCATTGGGTTTCATAGGTCCTAAAAGCTCCCAGGAGACCTGGAGGATGTAGCAGCAATCAATAACTTGTCTCCTATGGATGGTTCAGTTTCTGATTGACAGTGCATCATCATTATCACCAGGGTAACCTACATGAGCAGAGAACAAGGTAGAGGTCACAGAGAGTTAAAGGATCTGAGCGAACACAGGAGGAGGTCACACCCACAGATTTCTAAGATGTCAATGTGAGGCCACTACCTCTCACTGATATTTTAAGACCTTTGTCACATAAAGGTGATGTCATCTCGTCTTAAAGTGGACTTTCAGCCTCACTATCACATGCATAAAGCAGGGAAACACACCTTCTTTCCCGTTTGAATGAATTCCCAGCTGTGTGAACACATTGTTCCAGTGTTTCCACTCCGTCCCAGTCAGGACGGCTTCTATCCGGTCATATTTGGCTCACACTGACCTCCAAACCTTTTTTTTTTTTTATCCTCCAGCTGATTTCTGTCACATGACTTCAGTTAATCAGAAGGAGACACTTGTATTCGTTCTGTCGGTTACAGAGTGTCCCCTTTGTCCTTCAGACCCATTTATTCTGAGACACCAAAGGAACATGACTCAAATATAAAAACAGTCATTTTAAAGCTTCAATGACCTCCAGGAAAGTCAAGGAGTCAAATTTTCCAGAAACATTCTTGCTTCCCTTTACAGTTGACCAGCCTTACCTCTGAGATTTCCCTCCTCTAACACTACTGTTTGGTGTTTTTGTGTGATTAAGATACCAACTGTTTGGAAGCTTAAGTTATAATTCCTGGTCATCCAGGTTATAGTTAGACCCAACAATCCAGATCAGGAAAATCTTCAGCACAGTAAAGATACAGTATTTATTTCATGGCTTAATCATAAACTGTTTTCTGTACCTTACATCTCCAAATACTATTAAGTTAAAATTACCAGGCACCATTTAACTAGCCCACCTTTGTTCCGGACAGGCTATTGGTCGGCGCTCCCAGGGAGAAGGCGGAGTCTAACGTTCCAGCCAATCGAACCGGAGGAGTTTACACTTGCCCAGTGACAGCTAAACAGTCAGACTGCAGAAGGATAAAGCTCATAGATCCATGTAAGTTATACTGTCACTGAGGGTGTCCTACTTCCTGTTTCATACTGATGGTATACAGTAGCAGCCATTCATAATGACCCTTCCCAGTCAAACACCAGCCGGATGGCAGCCCATTTCCCTGCAACTGCCTGCAGAATCCCCTCCAACAGGGTCTGACCAGGAGATGGTGCTTCTCTTTAGATCAGGGATCACCAACCTTTTTAAGGCTGAGGGCAACTTCAAGGGTACCGAGACGTAGGAAGGGCGACCATTACTGACCCATGAGCTGCAAGGGTTAGCGTTAGCCTAAACTTTGTTCATTATCAACATATTTTTATTGTTTCTGGTAATTTCTAAGTTTATTTAGACACTGTCATTTTAAAATCTCTTTAGATGATTAAAAAGAAGAGCAACAGAATAAAAGAAAATTTCAAACTTAGCCCACTGGTGGGTTGTTCATTATTTAGGAGACTCTGAGGGGCCCCCAATGTGGTCCTTGAGGGCACCTTGGTGCCCACGGGCACCGCGTTAGTGACCCCTGCTTTAGATCTTAAAAAGGAATTGTAGAGGACCAACCAAGGACCAGCCAAGGGCCCTATTATGAAAAGTGGGGAAATTTTGAATGGCTACTACTGTAGATGTCGTATTGAGACACAATGAAGCCTTAGTCGGTGTTATCCTATATTTTGTTAAAAAATGTTTCAGACTTTCAGATTTCATGGGAGAAACGGAAAAAAAAAAGCTGCAGGTGACGGTGACTCAGACCAGGCATTCAGGAGCCGCTAAAAATTCGATTTAGGAATCCCATTCCTGATGGAGTTTTAGATTTGTCTCATTTATCCATTAATCAGCACTAGGTACAGAAAAGGTGGGGAAAAAATAGCTAAGCCTAAAGCAGAGGTGTCAAACTCAAGTCCTTAAGGGTCTGTGGTGTCAATCTACTTTAGATATGTCCCTGGTCCAACACACCTGAATCAAATGGCCTAAATATCTCCTCAAGTTCTCCACTCCTGCTAATGACCTGGTTATTTATTTCAGACAAGTTGAAGCAGACACATCTAAAAGGTGCAGGTCACTGGTCCTCGAAGACTGCATTTTGACAGCTCTTGCATAAAAACGGGTTCTAAGGGAAAATTTATGCTTGCTTGCTTCTTTTGAAAATACTAGAGCAAAATAATTGTTCAAATTTAGGTTTAGGCCCCATAAATCCGCAAGATGCGGAAACAACATAATATAAGGACATCAAAGTCTGCGAGTGGAGTAGGTGCAATATCATCTAAGTCAGCATAGATCTTTGAACCTCTACGTCCCGCTCCGTCTTTGGTATGACATTGGACTTCAGGACAGTTTATGGGATGTGTTGAAGTTCATACCTATGTGTTTTTAGTAGGGGTGTGCATTGGCACTGCCCTCACGATTCGATTCGATTACGATTCATCAGGTAACGATTCGATTCAATTCGATTCTACGATGCATTGCGATGCATCAAAATCCCATTGACTTCGTAAAATCCGAAATGTGCCCAGATATCCGCTTTCCAAGCTTTTGGTGCGTTTTTAATTAGGCCTACCCGTCTATCGCGGTCATCTCCCTCCGCTTCAGCCATCTTGATTGTTGTTGGTATGCCCCCGGAAGTAATTGAAACTTCACAAGTTGTCCATTTGAGGCCAGAAAATAAACAGTGATATAATTTATTATGGCACGTTGCCGCATCGATGCTGAATCTTGCATGCCCCGCATTGTAATGCATCGCTGAATCGATTATTGTTGACACCCCTAGTTTTTAGGTTTTACAGCCTTTTCCAAATGCAGGTTGCCTCTTCTTTTTTGGATCCTCTGCAACAAACAAAATAGCATAGACGTTAGGATCCCAATGAATGGTTTGATTCAAAAACTCCTAGCCCAACATCCAGCTGAGCTCTGTGACGTCCAATCACAGAGATGGAAGCCTGACAGTCACGACTCGGAAAGAAAACAACTAACATTAGCTGCTTGGTTCTGGACTTTGAGCTGATTAGGTGACTGATTCATCACAGCTAACAATGAACCCGTCTGCTGCCTGCGATCTTATCGCCATCTTGGTGCATTATGGGTAGTCCATCAGTCACCGAGCTTTGACAGCTGCTGTCTGTTTCAGAACAAAGAAGCACTCACAAATAATAAAGATCCCGACTGTGACATAAAAATAACCCAGAAAAAATTGTTAAAACACAAACATACAAACAAAAGACAATATAAAGCAAAACACCTGATGCACAATGATGTGCAATATGTCAAATAGTTGCGACAAGTTCTAACCTGCTTTTTGAAAAACCTTAAACAAAAATATGTTTCATGTCATGATATTGTTTTATTTCACAAAATATGATGCAAAGTCAGACAAGATCACACTTCCTTAAAGTAAGACTCTGCGAGCCTCATGTTGCATTACAGGACAATTTCATGACAAAAACCATTAGTAAAAGAAGGAGCCACAAGAAGAGAGTAAAACCTATTATCTCTAAAAACAACACAAATGCTGCACTTAGGTTTGCAAAGCTGCATCTGAAAGCAGGCTTCTTAAATAATCTCCCTGGAAGAGAACAGACCAAAGAAGGGAGAGGTTTGGCAATGATGCATATCACTGTGGCTGGAGAGGATCCAAAAACAGAGTTTGAGAAAGAACAAAACTTTACCCAGTGAAAAGCACAGTGGTAGAGTGGTCATGATCTGGGGTTCTTCACAGTCCTAGGGCCTGGGAATTCTAGTGTTGCTGACCACGATCTCCCCAACAAACCATAGTGAGAGGAAGTGAGAGAACCTGAGTCAAGTTGGCCCCCCCACCTTCTTCAAATCAGCGAAATTAGTGTCAAACGTTTGTGCTACGTTTGTGCAGCAAAATTTTCATTTGTGCTGCTTTGGATTTGAAGATTTGAAGAAGGTCGGGGGGCTGGTTGACCTTTGATGACCTCTAGAAACATCTCTTAATATCTTTAAAATGAAAGCAACACAAATGAAAATTTTTGCTGCACAAATGTAGCACAAACGTTTGACACCAATTTTGTCTGATTTGAAGAAGGTGGGGGGGCCAACTTCACTCAGGTAGTGACAGAGTCTCGCTGAGTGAAAGGGCTGACCAGTTTTTGATATGGCTTCCCACTCTTCTCTCTTGGTGCCGTAGCGAACCTGACCCCGTCTGAAGACCTGGTCGAGGACATGTGGTTGGGCGTCTCAGTAGCCAGTCAGGGCAGACCTGGAGGGAGGATCCTGGTGAGTCTCTTATTTCAGCCTGGCGAGCGGCTGTTTAATGGTTTCTTCAGTTGTCCGCTAATCTATCTGAACTTAACTAGAATTTTCTGCTCTACCTCCATCTTTCACTGACCACCGGCTGTGATCATTTAACACTGCATCATCATGACTGACAACAGACCACAATAACCTGATGAGCATCCTGTGTACCATGTGACCCACAGTGTGTCTTATGTCCCTGCAGGCCTGCGGTCATCGGTTTATTAAGGTTCACCTTGGACAGAGGTGGATGACTGGCCACTGTTATCTCCATAGAAATGCACAGCACCAAGAAGAGGATCTAAACTGGCAGAACATACAGCAGCAGCATTGCGAGTAGGTCACATGGCCTTACGTTTAGCACGCGAGAGGAAACAATTGGGGACGCTACACTGAGCCCGCTGTGTGTGTTTAGTTACAGGCTGGATCATCTCAAAGAGGGAATGTGTACTTTTGGGATTTCTGCTTCCATCACACAGAGCGACGTCATCCTCGGCTCTCCTGGGAGCTACGAATGGCAGGGTACTGGTTCTGTGATGTCATAACTACTTCCCTTTTTTTACCAATAACAACCTTACCTCCAGGTTTCCATATCCCACCAAACATGGCAAACCTGCAGTGGCGTTAGGGCCCGGGCTTTGGGAGGAACTGGTGTTTGAACCCTGCGGTTTCTCATGTGTGAAGGATTTAACAGCTTCAGGTTCAACAGTTCAGATAGAATCAGCGAGGCCCCGTCAGTGTTGGACAAAAACCTCAGAGCTCACGTGAACCCAGTGAGCTGGATGCCGCTGATGGGTAACTTCCTGCATCATGCAGCACAGTGCGGCAGCTCACATGTTCACAGATGTGAGAGAAGTACTATCAAAGGATAATTTGCACGCTTCCTCTTTTTCATCATATAGATGATTATATAAGATTTGGGCTTTAAATTGGTCCACAGGTTCCCAGTTTTACCTTTCAACAGGTTTTTGATGGATTCTAAAGGTATTGTGGAGGATCCATAAAAACTCATTTTTACTCTTATTTTATTCTTTTATTCATTTCTAATTTTCTTTTTAATATTATCATTTTGAAACCACTGAAATATGATGAAATAGTTAACATGATGAAATAATACATAAATGATTAAAAAGAAGAGAAACAGAATAAAAAAAAAATAAACTTAACCCACTGAGTGAGTTCTTCTGTTTTCAGAAGACGAAGAGGGCCCCCCATGTGGTCCTTGAGGGCCCCTTGGTGCCCGCGGGCACCGCATTGGTGACCCCTGGCCTATGACGACAGCGGCTGTGACAGCAAATCCCAGAATGCATTGCAAGGAAAGCTCTCTGCGCAAAGCATTCTGGGATATATCTGCCTCTTCTGAGGCCTTTCTTTTCTTCTCATGCACTTCGTGGACACTTTTTCTCTTAAGACCAGTGTTTTATTAGCCTGACGTAGTCCGACTCAATTCTAGTCAGAATGAGTCTGATGCTGCTCCATAGAGCTGTGATTATGGGGCGTGTTTCCAACGAACCAGGAAAAAAATGCCTCTGCACTCAATTGGATAGACCTACAACCAATAAGAGCAACGGAGTGCGTGACGTATCTTAAGCGAGGCATAGTTGTTGTCCACAAAAATCAAAGCGTGCAGTTGCACGCCTAGAATAAGAAGATGAGACTTGATCGCGTTTCTCTGTTCCTCTTTTAAAATTAATTTGCTGTCGATATCTTCTAGAACAGACCTAATAGCAGAATCTACTCACCTCAACTCTCCAGCGGCAGCCATTATTGTTGTCACCCAAGCGCGCTTTGGTCACGTGGTTGATAACGTTACTCTTGATCATCTGTCCATCATCGTATAAAGCCCGCCCTGACAATTTGATTGGATCGCCTGACAGTGGGCTTTAATATTCGCGCTACTATGGAGCAGAGCCAGACCGAACTTCCCCGAACTCAAACCTTGTGGGCGGGACTAAGTTCGGACTGGCACCCAGGCTAGTGTTTTATAGTAACGAAGTAAAAATACTTCACTACTGTACTTAAGTATATTTTGGAGTACTTTATACTTTCCAAGAGTATACATCTTTTTGAGAACTTTCACTTTTACTTCACTACATTTACAAACTTAATTGCATCCTTTTCCCCCACTACATTTTCAATGTTTGGTTTAGTTACTAAGTAAAAAAGAAAAAAAAAAAACGAGCAAGAGAGCGAGAGAAATGCAAGTGTTTTGACCCCCCCTACTGACTACAAAGTCGGGTCTTGCCTGGGCTTGTTCATCAACACCAGTAGGATACGACTGTTTCGCAAAGCCAGTCTACATTCATCCTACACTTGGTTGTTTATATTATTTTAAGTGAATTTAACCTTCAAAGTTTACCAAAATGTAAAAAAAAAATGTAATTCAAACTACACTTACTTTTTACTCATACTATTCTCTACATTACTTGAGTACATCTATTTTTACAGTAATTCTTATCCTTAAGTACAAGCCATTCCAGATACTTTAAGACTTTTACTCAAGTAACATTTCAGTCAGTCACTTGGACTTTTACCAAAGTCATATTTTGAAGAGGTACTTATACTTTTACTTGACTCCGAGATTTCAGTACTTTATACGACACTGCTTAAGACCCTCGACCATTTTCAAAGAACCGTGGTGAGACTGTATGAAACCGAAGCTCACCACAGATATATGCCTGAAAGTGTGCAGGCTAACCGGACGAGCACTAGGACGGGCTTACGTAAACATTTCACCAGAATGACTAATAATTAGGAGGACTACTTATTTAGATGATCCACCCGGAAATAAAAGATTGTTCTCTATGACTTCAATGGTATGTTTTGGGTTAGTTTAAAGTTATTTTTTAAATTGTTTTTTTTATAAAATCCCAGCTTAAACAGATTAGAGATAATAATTCATATCAAAAACTTTTTCCTTCCCCAAAAATGAAACTTCTACCTTCTTGCTTCATAGCTTGTTTGTCGTTGAAATTCAGTGTTTGGATAAAACAAAGCCATCCTCTGTTCTGATGTCCACATAAGACATCATTTAGGATAATCTGTTAAAAGAACACATTTCTTAGAGGTTCAGGTCCTTGTCTACATTTTCTTTGGCTAACTTCAATTTGTTTTTTGTGTTTTTCTCAAAGCAAAAATGTCTAATTTCTTTTATGAAAATTTAACTTACAGTTCTCTATATGTTTAAACACACATTAGGTTTTTTTATTATTAGTAGCAATAACCTGCTTTAGATCCCCATATTCATATAATGGAGACATTTTTAGGCTCTTGCGGTCTACTATCAGGCTGACCCTGCTTGGAAATGTCGGTAGTTGGATTAAATGTCCTTTTCCCGTAGAGTGTTTTTTCTCCTGAGTAAAAATGCTAATTAGGACTCTTTTGAGATGATTTTCAGTTGCAGGGATCCATAAACTGTTACAGTCTTCTTCCTAAAGGTTTTAGACATCTGTAGTTTTAAACAGATTCTCCCTTAAAATGCTGATTATTGCTGTTTTCATTTTTTCTGGTGTGAGAAATCTCTTTGTTTCAGACTTTTCAGGTGAAAATAAATATGGAGGGTCCTAATGTCTTCCTTATTAGAAGTGCTCGAAGCTTCTTTTATATTGCTATAAGACTTCTCAGTATTGTTAGAATTGGAATGTCCATATTTATTAGAATAATTTTAATGCATACAGGCTATTGCAGGGAGGGTATATATTATGGCTTAATTTGTAGCACAAATTAAATGAAGCACCTTTTAGCTATGCTATCTGCTTTTAGCCACTTACAGTCTTTAGTTTTGCTTCTTACCCATTTTCAGTTGTTTGTGTTGGAAATATATAAATTAAGTCACTACAATCACATCACTGTGATTAAATATGCCTCAAACTCTGACATATTTCATTTAAATCAGAGCTGATTGTGTATTTAAGGTTCAGTCCCATCAAGAGGATCTGTGTAGATGCTGAACGGCCATTTTTAAAGCCATCTTTCACACAATGACTTTTGATTTAATTCCTTTTCTTTGCTTAACTTAAAAATTTTTTTTTTCCACTGAATAGAAACCATTTTGGCCTTAACTTTTGGGGTATTTTCCCCCCCAGACTGTGATGAATCTTGTAAATATGTGTTTGTCTTGCAGGAAATGTCCAAGCCTTCTGGATGAACCCAAATGTGACATACGATTGGAAAAGGAACTTCTTTGAAAAAAAGGATGCAAGTCGTAGGAACATTTATTTAGGTGAACTATCTCTTTAGGTAACTCTTCTCATCCTCAGACTTTGCTCTGAGGTTCATTTTTTGGAAGATATTACCTTATTTGATGTAAAATCAAAAGAGAAAAGCCTGCAACCTGAAAGTTTTCCCTCTTTCTGGTGACTTAGTGATCGGAGAGGTTCAGGCTACTTAAACAGTTTTATATAAAACAAATGGATGTAATCTAGCCTACTCTCTATGCACATTTTGTTTATACATGTAGATTTAATACCAGGGATGTCCTGATCAGCATTTTAGGCCTCTGATCCCGATCTTTTAATTTCAAATCCGGTCCGGTTTCAAGTCCCAAAATTCTGCCTTTAGTTTTGAAATGTTTAAAGCTCAAATACATTTTGAGCAAGTAACTTATATTTTTATAATATTTCATCAATAAGCATCACTATTATTATTGTAAATCCCATGAAATCTAAATTTTACTGAGAATTAAAGGTCTGCTTTAATTTAATATTATAGACAAAAGTAAAAAGAACACTGACTTGGTACAGTATTATCAAAAAGAAAATGTAAGATCCACTTTTAGCTTGTAAGTGCTTAAAGGAATAGTACACCCAAAACATGATTAGCCTTCATTTTCTACTCACCCCCATGCTGAACAACACTCTGGAGTACTTTTTTGATATCTCAAATGCATCTGGAGATCTGGGAGGCTTCTTGCTGTCTGCTGACATTCAAATAATGGAGGTCTATGGCGCCCGAGGCAGAAAGGTCCATAAAAGTCCACAAAAAACGTGTCAATATTCCTCCATACTGCTCGTCCAATGTATTCCAAGTGTCCTGAGTGGGTAGCGTCCATAATTTACTGGAAACGAAGTCATTTAGAATGTTTTTAGAGCATAAACAGTAGTGTATAGGATTTCCTGAAAGCGCGCCTTGAGATGGCATGTGTTGCACTATATAAATAAACTGAATTGAACTGAACTTTTGTCACTTGAAAGTGGAACCAGCTGCAGAAAATTAACTGCCTGTAATGAGCAACTTTTCAGGGAATCTCTTCAGATCAGACATTACCGTGTTTTTACTAGCTGCGACTAGTGATGAAAGCAAGGCTTCTTTAGGGTAATAGCTGCTCTTTTCAAGAGTAATATTAAGTGAGAAAGGTTAACGTATAGAAACAGGTCCACAACAAGAAGGAGAGAATATAAAGGCACAGAACCACCAAGCCAATAGTGCAAACAAGGAGTGTGAAGTCATGGTTCTTATATATTAGGCAGTCTCATGGTTAAAGGCTGAGATATAATCGTGTGTTGGTTTGTGGTGTCAGTCTGTGTGCACCGTATGAGGGCCCATAGAAGTGCTGCACACGGTGATAGATGACGCGGATGTAGTTGCAGAGGAGCTTTATTCAGCATAACATGCGGAAATGCAGAAAAAAAGAGACGAAACAGTTGACATATCACTTCCAAAAATGGCCAACCTCAGTATTGTTTATTGAAGAACTTATGATTATTGAAGAACAACATTCAGTTTATTTACGTAGTGCCAATTAACAACACATGTCATCGTAAGGCACTTTACAGTTCACCAGATCATACAGTCAAATTGTTTTTCTATCTAAGGAAAACCAGCTGATTGCATCGACTTATTGACTCGAATGCAATCCCTCACACTAGGCATGCTTGTAGCGACAGTGGAGAGGAAAAACTCCATTTGAACAGGAAGAAACCTCCAGCAGAACCAGGCTCAGTGTGAGCGGCCATCTGCTGAGGCCCACTGGGGTTCAAGGAGACAGAAGCAGGGATATAAAAAGCAGCTGTAAAAGGCGGCCCCGTCCAGGAAACACACAGCCAGGCAGACGAGCTCCGAGCCAGCTCCCATGTCAGAGGATGACACAGGATACAGAAATATATTGTGGTGTAAAACGGCAGGGTTAAATGTTGCACACAGAGAGAGATGAAAATGTGAAAACAATCCTCCTGTGAAGCTCATCCAGACCTTTTTTTATATATAAAATAAAATACTATAAAAAATTTATATATATATATATATATATATATATATATATATATATATATATATATATATATATATATAAAATAAAAACGTTTTACAAAATAAAAGCTGAATGCATTATACACTATGGGTAGTTGATTGAGACTTTATGTATGGTGTATATGATGGAAACATAAACTAAAATCCTTGTTTTACCTCTTGGCAAATAAAGTCGCCCTGATTACTCTAACAACACTGCATTTAACCACACTGTTCCACTTCAACCTTCTGCACCATTTCATGTCAGTACAGGAAAACTTAGACATGGAGAACAACTTTATATCCTCCCATTTGAAAGAGGCTGGTGCACACAGTCCAAACTCGGGGGACTGATTTCGTAATTTGAGCGCACAAGTTTCAGAATCTGCATGCATAGAACAGTCCAAATGTGCATAGAGAATAATTTATGTGCATGTGTTTTAAAACTAGTCGTATCAGTATTTATTAGGTGTGTGTGCACCGTTGGCATATGTTTGAATAACTGCTCACTCTTTTGCAGGGTATTCTGTCTTGCAGGCCTATCATTTACTTTCTGCAAAGGATCAAACCATCATAGCAGGTGAAATCCCTCCTTCATTCTTCAATCAATTATTGACCCATCTGCTTGTAGGGTCTCTTGATTTGTTGACTGATGTGTTGATGTGTTAAACAGGGGCTCCTAGAGATAATAAAATGGATGCTCGTGGTTCTGTGATGCTGATTGTTAAGGAGTCTACTGATCTGGTGATTCAGAAGACTCTACGAGGTCAACAGGTTGGATCGTACTTCGGTAATGCAGTGGTAGCCGTGGACCTGAACAGTGATGGGTGAGAGGTCCTGGTGTTGCTGCGGTTTTAACAGGAACCAAAACACACCTTCTGGCTACTGGGTTTAAAACTGTTTACGTTGGATGTTCTGCAGCTGGAACGACCTGCTAGTGGGTGCTCCTTTTTACTTCAACCGTCAGCTGGAGGTGGGTGGGGCAGTTTACGTTTACATGAATGGAGGGGGGAGGTTCCCCTCTGAACCCAGCATGGTTCTGACAGGTCCAGTTGGATCTGCTTTTGGAATGGCTATTGCTGCTGCAGGAGACCTCGACCAAGACGGCTTTCAGGGTGAGGCAGCTGCATGACGCTGATGTTTAGTCATCAGTCAACGATGACCAGTCAGGTGGATGTGATGCTGTATTTCAGACTTTGCAGTGGGAGCTCCTTTCCATGATGCAGGACTTGTAATGATCTGGACCGGAAGCAGAGAGGGTGTTTCTGCAGAACCAAGTCAGGTAAAGATTTCCTTTTTCAGAACAATGTGAAATGTGATTTGTTAAAACGACTAAATGTATCAATCCATGTTGTATTTTAAAACAAAAACCATTTCTCAATATGTGTACTTGTGCGTTCTCATGTGCTTATGTGCTCAAAAAACGGCACCAGCCTCAGCCCTATTACTGTTCCAGTTCACAAGAACAAGAAGAACTGACAAATTCCCCAGATGTTGTTCTCACCCCTCCCTCTTTTCCCAGCATGCATCAGAGCAGACTTGTCTGCTGTTGAGATTTACAGCTGTCCCAGCATGCATTGTGGCAGCTTCCAGGGGAGCGCTCACAGAATCAGAGTATTAAGTTTAACGTTCTCTTTTCTGTCGCTGTTGCTCTATAAAAGTACGTTTTAAGATCATTTGAGGCGAGAACATCATACTTTTAAGCTTCATTATTTGGCCTATTTACTGATTTGGTGCATAATTTTAAAAAAGTTCAGATGTTGGGAGGACCGGGGCAACCAGCGGACCTCCGAGGCTAACAGCAGCCAGGGCTAACGTTGGCCCGTCTCCTAGCAGCCCTCTCTCAGCTTACATATAGCCATGTGTGAAGGATCGCTGGCTCTGATGGCAGTTTTTTTTGTTTTATTTGGCAAAATGTTAAACTTTGTGTTTATCTGTCTGTGGTAATTATTATCACCCAAAAATTGAACAAAAGTCTGAATTTATTATTATCTAGAGAATATTAATAACAGGAGGTAATATGCAGAGATGAGCCGAGTGTGTGGTGATGTCATCAGTACGCTTCTGTGCTCCCGTTCTCCCAGAGTCCAGACTTTCCAGTGTTCTTCTCAAGAACATACTTGGTGAGGACACGAGTCCGTACTCACGTTCTTGTGAATTGAGAAATGGCCAAAGTCTTAAAGACTTCTGAAACTGGAGACTTGTCTTTTAAAACTGTGAGAAGTTAACAGAATACAGAAATGTCTACAATGAGGAAACGTCCCCATAGCCCAGAAACATTTCCTTCCATCAATCTGTCCACCAACTGGTGTCTCCTCCGAGTGGGACATGTCTGAAAAACCTTCGGTGGAAGGCGATAGGGTAGAGTTATTTTGACCTAATGCAGCAGCAGCTCTGTCTTTCCTGGATGATGAGCTACAAATCCTGCCTCCAAGGCTGACGGCAGCTAACCAACACTGAAGCTCATTTCAGTGGCTTGTATCCAGAACTTAACATTTCAACCATGATCCTCATCTCATCTCCAATTTCTGGGAAAAGGTGAGGTTCTGCATGTAAACAGATTGATGGATCGACTTTTACATGAAGATATTTTTTATTCTTCTCAATAATTAGTGGCTTCACCGAATTCCTCCTAAAGGATGAAGGATTTAAGAAAAGGCAAGTTTATTTGCATAACACAATTCAGTACTTGGGCAATTCAAAGTGCTTTACATGAATTAGACAATAAAATAAAAGAAAAATAAAAGCAGAATAAAAGCAAATAAACATAAAAATCTTTGTTAACAGTTTAACTTAAACAGTCAAAGGTTTTTTTGTTGTTTTTTTTACTTTGACTTAACGAACTCAGGCTTTCAGCACCTTTAAAGTTTTCTGGGAGTTTTTTCCAGATCAGTGGAGCATAGGAACTAAATGCTGCTGTTCCAGAACCGGCCTGATGTGCTCTACTTTCTTAGTTCTAGTGAGAACATGGGCAGCAGTGTTTTAGATCAGCTGCAGCCGTCTGATGGACTTTTTTTGGCAAACCTATGAAGACACTGTTGCAGTGATAAATTCTACTAAAGATAAAAGCATGAAGGAGTTTTTCTAGATCCTGATTGGTCATTAGTCCTGTAACCCTGGAAACGTTCTTCAGGTGATTAAAGGTGGACCTGGTAACTGCCTTCATGGGCCTCTGAAGGTCCATCAAAACACCAATATTTTAGCCATAATCAATGGTTTCCAGTTGTAGTATCTGAAGCTGTGAGCTAACTGAATTATTCCTCCTTTAGTTTGAAGATTAGCACCTATGTTTTGTTTTTATTCAGGAGAAGATTATGGTGCATCCACATATTGATCTGTTCTAAGCATCTACCCAACACTGATGGGTTCAGTCACCTGGTGAGATTGTAATATAAAGCCGCGTGTCATCAGCATAGTTATGGTAACTGATCAGGTTGTTTGCTATAATCTCAGCTAACCGGGCATGTAGATTTGGGGGAGTGGCTGCCTAGTGGTCAGGGCAAGAACAGCGGAGTCGGTGCTGTCGCATCCCAGATGAAAGTAAATCAGAATCACAGATGGCTTTCGCTGTATTGCGTCGGACTCACCGTCTTTTCTTTTTTCTTTTGTCAACAGCTCATAATACGACCTTCATCTGGGTCAGAATTTTTGTCCAGGGCCCTGTTCGGCATTTGCATTTTTCTTTCTCAGAAACATCTCCATCACTATAATAGAAGCAAATCGTTACCATATTTAAAATGAAAAAACATTTTCAGAAATGCTTTTTCATTTTACGAATGTTGCTGCATTGTTTGACTCATAAATAAAATTAGTAATCAAATATCCCGTTTGCATTTTCATTTTCTTCTTTAACACTCATCCTTTTACTTAATTAAAATTAAAAAGAAAAAGACATTTGAGATTTATTTTTTCAAAATGTACCCCAGTAAATACATACCAAAATTCAATTTGAAATTTAAAATTTGAAAATGAAAAAGCATTTCATTTCCAGAAATGCTTTTTCATTTTAAGAATGTGGCTGCATTATTTGCCTCATAAATGAAATTAGTAATCAATCATCCGATTTGCATTTGCATTTTCTTCTTTAAGGCTGCACAATTTATGCCATAATCAAAGATAAAACACAGTGAACATTGCTTTATCGTTTTCATGGTCTGCCTGCATGGTAACTCGAAAACGAAAAAGAATTCTGAGCGGCGGGGGCAGCAGAGTGACATCAGCAGCCGCTCTTCCTTAGGATCCTTGCTGACCAGGCTACCTATCTTCTTAATTCGTATTTTGAAAAATTAATCTCAAATGTCTTTTTTTTTTATTTTATTAAGTAAAAGGATAAGCAGTGTTGAAGAAGAAAATGCAAAAAGGATTATTGATTACTAATTTCATTTATGAGTCAAACAATGCAGCTACATTCTTAAAATGAAAAAGCATTTCTGAAAATGCTTTTTCATTTTAAATATGGTAATGATTTGCTTCTATACATCACTGTCACTTGCTTGTATTTCTGAGATTAATTAGGTTATTATGCTATTTCATAATTTCCCAGGGTGCACCTTACGATCTCTTACTGTATGAAAATCACTGGTCTAGCCCATCTCCTGGACCCAGGTATAGCAGCCCCGAATGAGCATGGGGGTGTAGAAAACTGCATTAAGCTACGGTACTTTGCTCAACATTAAGCAACTTTTTGGTTCCTTCCTGTCAAGTTGAGGGGGGAAATATTCCTGTTATTCCAAGAAAGTATAGTATGTAATATAAAGTATCTCTGATGTGGTCAGATTGGGATTTGAATACTTCAAGCACAATGAGATGTTAATTCAACCAAAAGGAGAAACTTCTTTAACTATATTCAACCTGAATAAAACTGCGTTCTGACTCAACTGTAGCCTCTCACCTGTCTTCTTCAGGTGATCCATGGCAGCACTGTGTTTCCTGGTTTCCGGACCTTCGGGTACTCCCTGGCCGCAGGTGTGGATGTTGATGGGAATGATTATCCAGACCTGTTGGTGGGCTCTCTGGATGACAAAATCGTCCTCCTCAGGTAGAGCACAAGTTACTTTTTTTTAGTGCAACTGATGATTTTTGTTTTTTTATCTTCTGCTGACCAACTGATTCTTCAGGTCTCGCCCTGTCGTCCAGCTAAATAACACACTCAGAGTTTCTCCGGATATCGTCGACCTAAAAGACTGTAACTTCTGGTGAGATTTAAAGGAAATGCAGACTGTTAAGGTTTGCTTTCATTGTTGTATTATCATTAATGGTGTCTGTCTCTTAGCATCCAGGTGGAGGTGTGTTTCTCCTTCAAGGTCCACGCTGGAAAAAACTTAAGCATCATCTGTGAGTCCACAGTTTATTCAGTGATACATCTTTAGAGTAGCGGAGCTATGCTAATATTATATAAATATGTACATATTATATGTACACTACTGTTCAAAAGTTTTGGGTCACATTGAAATGTCCTTATTTCTGAGGAAAAAGCTCTGTACTTTTCAATGAAGATAACTTTAAACTAGTCTTAACTTTAAAGAAATACACTCTATCCATTGCTAATGTGGTAAATGACTATTCTAGCTGCAAATGTCTGGTTTTTGGTGCAATATCTCCATAGGTGTATAGAGGCCCATTTCCAGCAACGATCACTCCAGTGTTCTAATGGTACAATGTGTTTGATCATTGGCTCAGAAGGCTAATTGATGATTAGAAAACCCTTGAGCAATCATGTTCACACATCTGAAAACAGTTTAGCTCGTTACAGAAGCTACAAAACTGACCTTCCTTTGAGCAGATTGAGTTTCTGGAGCATCACATTTCTGGGGTCAATTAAACGCTCAAAATGGCCAGAAAAAGAGAACTTTCATCTGAAACTCCACAGTCTATTCTTGTTCTTGGAAATGAAGGCTATTCCATGCGAGAAATTGCTAAGAACGGTGTGTACTACTCCCTTCAGAGGACAACACAAAGAGGCTCTAACCAGAGTAGAAAAAGAAGTGGGAGGCCGCGTTGCACAACTGAGCAAGAAGATAGAGACTGACACGGGAGTGGATTTTCACTCCTGTCCCGTCCCACTCCCACAGAAAAAAATAGTGTCCCGTCCCGATCCCGGGCCAGAGTAGAAATCTAAATCCTGTCCCGTCCCACTCCTGGTGAAATTACTCCCACTCCCATTCAGAATGACTCCCGCTCCTGCACCACTCCCATTCCTGTTGTCTTCAAGATTTATGCCAATACAATGAATCTGAATTTCTTTTGAGCGCGGGTGACAAACTCAGAGCGGAAGCACTGTTGGTTTTTGGGTAGTGTAGTTTTTTGACTCCCATTATAGTGTAGGCTTCAAGGAAAAAAACTACAAAATGGCGGCGCCAGTACTGGATTTTTTTTCTCTCTATTTTATTTTATTTTTTGGCATCGATCCTAGTTTTTTTTTTTTAGTTACTATTGGTTTGTTCCCGCTTCCGTCTGCTCCCGTTAATGTTTAATCCTGTATCGTCCCAATCACGTGATCGTTACTAATACTGACTCCCATCCCACGGGAATCCCACGGGAATCCCGTGACCCGTGGGATTCCCGAAAAAATGTCAGCCTCTAAGATAAGTACATTAGAGTCTCTAGTTTGAGAAACAGACGCCTCACAGGTCCCCAACTGGCATCTTCATTAAATGGTACCCGCAGTATCCTGTTTGTGCTGTCCTTTGAAGGGAGTAGTACACATCATTGTAGGAAATCCTCAATTTCTTAGCAACCTCTCGCATGGATTAGCCTTCATTTCTAAAAACAAGAATTTCAATGTGACCCCAAACTTTTGAACGGTAGTGTACATAAATTACATATATAAACATCAATATAAAGGCATTTTCTGATCATGATTTAAAATTATACTGCATAATGTTTTATAGATAATATGCATTTGTTTTGTGAGTTTTTATTTTATTTACATCATGAGTGAGGGGTGTCCAAAGTGTGGCCCTGGGATGATTTTGCAAACCAGAATTCAAGAAACTATTGTTTGGAAGCCCAGACTCTTGATTAAGATCCACAATTATAAAATGTTAGGTTTCAATTTTCAATGAGATTAGGCCTTTAAAAGAGGAGATCCAAACTATTTAAAAGTTATCTAAAGACAATATAAGGTTAAAAAAAGAGAACTGGGTTTATTCCTTTTCATTTAATAAGGCAGAGGCAACCTGATCCACAGAAACGTAACCTGGCTCTGGGGACGTGGAATGTCACCTTGCTGGGAGAGAAGGAGAATGGGAATGTGCAGGAGGTGGAGCAATACTGGCTGGAAAATAGTCAGACTTACTTCCACACAGAGCCTGGGGTCTTTACTCTCTTCACTGTGGAGAGGCCTACAGGAAGAGACGGAGAGGGGGGGCGGTCTGCTTGTCTCTCCCCAGATAAGGTGTCTTGTGTTGGAGTTTTTAGAGTCAGTTTCTGACTTTGACATTTCTGCTAGCGCTGGGGCAGACAGAATTGACCAAGACTGCTGGATAGGTATAAAAAAATAAATAAAAAAAAACTGAATGAAAGTTGATCATAAATCCGTTGGTCTATGAATTCTTTAAACATGACATCTTTGGTCCCTGTGACAAAAACTACACCACGGATCTAAAGTTTGCTATCCAGCTATAATCAGCATAAACTTCTGTTTTTTTTGTCAATGTTGGGGATGAGAATACGAGACACATCAATTCCACACTAATCCCTTCACTTAAGGTGAGGCTCTATTTGTAGACGAATGCTGAAAAGCTTCTGCCGGTCAGAGGGAAGAGTTTAAGTTTACGGCCTCATTTTTGAGGCACGTCATTAAGGGATGGCCTCGTTTCCACAAAGATTAGGATATTTCTTTACCTAGTTAATTTTCAGTTCAGTTTAATTCTATAGCACCAATTCACAACACATGTCATCTCAAGGCACTTTACATTTCACCAGATAATACGGTCAGATTGATTCAAAGTTTTCTATCTAAGAAAAACCAGTCGATTGCATCGACTCAAATGCAATCCCTCACACTAAGCATGCTTGTAGCAACAGTGGAGAGGAAAAACTCAACTCAACAGGAAGAAACCTCCAGCAGAACCAGGCTCAGTGTGAGCGGCCATCTGCTGAGGCCCACTGGGGTTCAAGGAGACAGAAGCAGACATAGAAAAAGAAGCATAGATACAAAAGGCAACTGTAAACCAGCTCCACAGGCGGCCCCGTCCAGGAAACACACAGCCAGGCAGACGAGCTCCGAGCCAGCTCCCATGTCAGAGGATGAAGTAGTAATTTCCCTCTGGGATTATTAAAGTATTTCTGTTTCTGATTCTGAAAAAGAGCACATCCAGCCAGTCACAGTCAGAGAAACAGGACTACACTGAAAACCAGGCTGATCTCCAACATCTATAAACAAAGGTGTTGATGGCAGCAGCACAGCTGATATTTCTCTCCAGGATGGAGTCACAGCCAAACAGGAACAGACCAGATGAAGCTACTATAGAGATTGAACTAACAGATTCTGCAGAGTGATAGAATAGAGATAGAATGATGAAAAAGGGGTCCCTATGTCCTCCAGAAGTCTAAGCCTATAGCTTAGATTACTGGAGGACTGCTGGACTTATTATCTCAAATAATGTTGCCAACAATTCCTTAAAAAAGGAGCTGTCGCATTACAAAAAATGGTATTCAATTTATGTCCGAGTAAAATGTTTAGAAAGAATTTCCCCAAGAAAAAAAGCACCCAGAAAAGACTTCCCTTATGGTAGCGTAGAACAAAATCCCAGGCTAAGCAGAGTCCCTTCTTTATCTTTTAGTCGATAACCCTTCTGATCAACCTGTCCATTTAACAGCCATCTCTCTAAAGCAGGGGTGTCAAAGTGGTTCCAGAAAGGGCCGTGTGGCTGCAGGTTTTCTTTCCAACCAATCTAAACATGATGACTTGATGAGATGAATGAAGTCTGGTGTGCTATCTACAGGGTATTGCTGCTAAAGCCCAGAATTCCCAAAATGTCTGCTTCATCACCTGGAAGCTGCAGCTCCAAAGGTTGAGTGGGGTTATAATATCTAGCTGACCCTCACTGCCCATGTTGGTGGAGTCAATCTAGATCTTAATCCTGCTCCTCCAGTGTGTCTTGCAGCTGCTGGATGATGCAATAAGCTTTTTTAAGCTGTAAACGACAGCTGCTTCCTGTGTGTGCTGTTAATTAGCTCCTGCTGCTAATCAGCGCACACAACCCTTGATGAGCAGAGCATCTACGCTGGGTGCCGTTAATTTGTCCAATCTGAGAAAGGTCACCATGTTGCTATGACAACACCTACTCCACCCACCCGGCAGATGACTTCATGGTGTCCTTGGGTGTCCCGGTGTTTCTGTGGATGATAAATCACATTAAATAAACTGATATTATTCCATCTGACACACACTCTCTAGCTCTGCGGAGCAGTGTGTGTGTTCTGTATCGTTCAGAGTCAAGGTGACCCGCTCCCTGAGTGACGTCCTGAGGTGAACGAACCCTTGGGCATCAATCAGGTGCTGATGAGGTGGAGAGATTATCATTTGAGAGTAGAAACTATCGTTTCTCATGCGTGAATCCTAATAACATCCAGGCTTATTCTATTTCAGATCAAATAGTTTTAACGCTTATGCTCCGTCTACATCTTCTGAATTTTATCATGTGACCATAGAAATATATGCCCTGGGTTTGTTAACCTGATTTACGCTGCACAATTCTCAGCCTAATCTGATTATTAAACGCTTCATTATATGAAAGCCAGGAAAATGTTCCGGATTTAACTTCCTTTGGCTTTCTCAGTGAGACACAGACTCTAAACAGTCTATACAGAAACTGATAGATCACAGGTGGAGTTCCTCAAGGAGCTGGTTATTGATCACTTGGAAGAGTTTTGGTTTCATTTTATTTTTACTACCAGCTGCTGATCCAGTTTTAAAGCAGGCTGGTTATCGAGGAGTTAACAGTTAATTAAGCCTTGTTGCACGGTGACCTGTTATGCTGGAATCTCCACAAATTATCAATTCAATTAAATTCAATTCAGTTTATTTATATAGCGCCAAATTCACAACACATGTCATCTCAAGGCACTTTACAGTTCAACCAGATCATACAGTCAAATTGATACAAAGTTTTCTATCTAAGGAAAACCAGTTGATTGCATTGACTCATTGACTCAAATACAATCCCCCACACTAAGCATGCTTGTAGCGACAGTGGAGAGGAAAAACTCCCTTTTAACAGGAAGAAACCTCCAGCAGAACCAGGCTCAGTGTGAGCGGCCATCTGCCGAGGCCGACTGGGGTTCAAGGAGACAGAAGCAGACATAGAAAAAGAAGCATAGATACAAAAGGCAGCTGTAAAAGGCGGCCCCGTCCAGGAAACACACAGCCAGGCAGACGAGCTCCAAGGCAGCTCCCATGCCAGAGGACGAAGAGAGCACATCCACTCAGTCACGGTCAGAGAAACAGGACCACACAGGAAAACAGGCCGATCTCCAACATCTATAAACAAGGGTGTTGATGGAAGCAGCACAGCTGATGTTTCTTTCCAGGATGACGTCACAGCCAAACAGGAACAGACGAGGCAAAGCTACTCTGAGGAAAAGCAGAGAGAGCAGAAGGTTAGAGATTGAACTAACAGATTCTGCAGAATAGGAGAACAGAGAGAGAATGAAGCAGAATGATGAAATGGGGGTCCCTATGTCCTCCAAAAGTCTAAGCCTATAGCAGCATAACTATAGAGATAGCTCAGGATAACCTGAGCCACCCTAACTATAAGCTTTATCAAAAAGGAAAGTTTTAAGCCTAGCCTTAAAAGTAGACAGGGTGTCTGCCTCACGGACTAAAACTGGTAGTTGGTTCCACAGGAGAGGAGCCTGATAACTAAAAGATCTGCCTCCCATTCTACTTTTAGAAATTCTAGGAACCACTAGTAAACCTGCAGATTGAGAGCGAAGTGCTCTGTTAGGAACATAAGGAACAATCAGATCTCTGATATAAGATGGAGCTTGGCCATTTAAGGCTTTATATGTGAGAAGGAGGATTTTAAATTCTATTCTTGATTTAACAGGAAGCCAATGAAGAGAAGCCAGGATAGGAGAGATATGATCTCTCTTTTTAATTTTCATTAGAACTCTGGCTGCAGCATTTTGGATCAGCTGAAGGCTTTTAACTACAGTTTGTGGACTTCCTGATAGTAAAGAATTACAATAGTCCAGCCTTGAAGTAACAAATGCATGGACTAGTTTCTCAGCATCACCCCTGGACAGGATATTTCTAATTTTTGCAATGTTCCTCAGATGAAAGAAGGAAATTCTAGAAACCTCTTTGATATGGGATTTAAATGACAGGTCCTGATCAAAAATAACACCAAGATTTTTTACTTTATTATCTGAAATCAGTTTAATCCCATCCGAATGAAGTGACTGACTAATCAGCTTCTTTTTCAGAGACTCTGGTCCAAAGACTATAACTTCTGTTTTGTCTGCATTCAGAAGCAGAAAGTTAAGAGTCATCCAGGTTTTTATGTCTTCAAGACATGCCTGTAATCTATGTAATGGGTTAGCTTCATCTGGATTTATAGACAGATATAGCTGGGTATCATCAGCGTAACAGTGGAAATTAATCCCATGCTGTCTAATAATTCTACCAATTGGGAGCATGTATAAAGTAAAGAGAATTGGTCCTAGCACTGATCCCTGTGGTACTCCACAGGTAACCTTTGAGCGTGTTGAAGATCTATCATTAACATGAACAAACTGAATTCGATCAGATAGATAAGATTTAAACCAGTCTAGAGCTGTTCCTTTAATTCCAACAAAATATTCCAGTCTTTCTAAAAGAATATTATGGTCAACTGTATCAAATGCAGCACTAAGATCCAACAGGACGAGCACAGATACAAGTCCATTATCTGAGGCCATGAGAATATCATTAGTGACTTTCACCAGAGCTGTTTCAGTGCTATGATGAGCTCTAAAGCCAGACTGAAACTCTTCAAAAAGTTCATTATGGTGGAAGTGATCGCAAACTTGTTTGGCAACTACTTTCTCAAGAATTTTGGATAAGAAAGGAAGATTGGATATAGGTCTATAATTGACCAAGTCATCTGGGTCAAGAGACGGTTTCTTAAGCAGAGGTTTAATTACAGCAACCTTAAAAGCTTTAGGTACATATCCCTGTAACAGAGATAGATTAATCACATCTAAAATGGAGGAGGAGATCAAAGGGAATACCTCCTTAAATAACCTGGTTGGAACTGGATCTAACATACAAGTTGAAGGCTTAGATGAAGACAATAATTTTGCTAATTCAGAGAGTTCAACTGGATCAAAGCAGTCTAAACCCGGTTCAGATTCCATGACTACCTCAGGTACAATCGCGGATAGAGGAGTGCTTATGATCTTATTTTTAATAAGATCAATCTTATTTATAAAGAATCCCATAAAATCATTGCTGCTAAGACCAGGTGGAATGGACGGTTCAACAGAGCTCTGGCTCTGGGTGAGTTTGGCAACTGTATTAAAAAGAAATCTAGTATTATTCTTATTCTCCTCTATTAATGAGGAGAAGTATGCTGCTCTTGCTTTACAAAGGGTCCTCTTATACAGCAGTAAACCATTTTTCCAGACTAGGAAGGACTCTCGCAGGCCTGTGGAGCGATATTTTCTCTCCAGTTTCCTAGCATTTTGCTTCAAAGTACGCAGCTCTGCATTAAACCAAGGAGCAAGCTTTCTATTTTTAACGGTTTTCATTTTCAAAGGAGCTGCGTTGTCTAAGGCAATACGCAGAGAACTAGCAACCCCCTCAACAAAATCATCAACCTGTGAAGGGGAATAAGCTAAGCTTTTGCACTCTGCAGCACTGCTCAGTGACACAGAGGAGAGAGAAAGTGAAGCAGATTCTTTAAAATTTTTAACTGCACTATCTATCCTGCACTATCACAAACCTGTTTCTAAAACTTTGGAGAAAACTGCTGCAGGAAGGTGTTTTAAAGGAAACGCTCAGCAAGGAATGATGAATGGATTATTATCTATACATTAAACTAATATGTTCACAGTGATTTAATGAATTATCAGTAAAAAAAATAAAAAATGTTTTTGTCGCGATCAATGACTCTGGGAGCGGCCATTTTTGCCCAAATATAGTAGCCCCTCCCTCCTGCCATCTTCCAGCAGTGACGTCACGGTGCAGTAAGCCTAGCGCCATTTTCCCCGCTTTCCAAGCTAAATCAATGGGAACTACTAAACACATCTGCAATCAACAACAATTATTGAAGATTTCCAGAGGACTTCACCATTGAAATTCACCAGAGCTATAGTGAAACTGACAATGCCCACGTGCATGGCAGCTGGATGCTGGAATACATCGGGTAAAAGTGAAAAATAAAGAGTTATTCCACCTTTCTGATTCCTGATCCTCCACGGACGGGTTTGTAATTGGATCGCCAACTTGAAGAGGGAGGATTTGCCATTAAACTTCTGGCTGGAGGAAAAAAAAACCCGTAATATGTAGCCAACATTTGGAAGAAGAATGTTTTCAAGATGACTTGGATAATAGCGCGTTGTAACAAACACCAGATACAGCACTGGGACTTGATCAACAGCCGATACCGCACCGTGACAATGTCACTAACCAGTAGGTGGCAGTAGTGTTCTTTGACAAACATGGATGCCTCCAGTAAAGCACATTCAGATGAAATTACTCTTCTTCACTTATCATTAATTGAACAGGATGTAATAATTTAAAAGTACTTTCAGAAGTTTTAATTTTGAACATGACCAGACTTTTCCTTTAATACCATTTTGCAGAACTAGTAGGAGAACTATTACTTTGCTGGAGAACTAACCCCACTAATTGGTTCAAGATTCTTTACTGTTGGCGTCTTACAAAATTGTAGTAACTCTCTACCTTTTTTTTCCTCAAGAAGTCCCAAATGTTAAAAAAACTGATCCACTGCAGGAAATAACTCTTGTCCAGTCTTCTGACTTTCTTCCCTGTACATCCTGGGTTTTTTCTTTTTAGGGGGAACAAGTTGTTTCTTTGGAGCCTTTCTTGCTTAAAGCTCTGCACTGGTGACTCTGAAGTTCCCTGTCGAAGAAGAGATGATCCTCAAGATTGCTGGATCTTCTAGGGCAGCAATGCCAAAGTCCCGCCCTCAAAGCTGCTGTCTTTCAAACTTGTAGAAATAGGCTACCCCTTCTGCACAGACCTGAATCTAAATTGTTTAACCTGGGCATCCTTGTTCTAGAATATCTGTAAAATTAAGCTCACTCATTGAAGTTCTGTGTATTCTGAAGAAAAAACAAAGTAGTTCTTTAATCTGTGGTTTTCTCATCAGCAGCTTCCTGAAGTGACGCAGTTGTTGATTCCATAAAAACTGAAGCTGCAACATTAATGCAGAATAGGATCATTTATGATTCCTTTTAAGCTGATTATATGTGTTTTCACATCTTAACGTTTGTCTGTTTTTGCCTTGCAGCTGTCAACCTTACCGTGAGTGCTGATGTCACCAGCCTCACGCCCCGCCTCCGTTTCCAGAACAACGGAGAAAGCATGTTCTCCAGTATCCTGTCAGTAAGGAACGGAAAGTGTAAAACCTTAAGAGTTGGACTGCTGGTGAGTTATGCACAGAAAAAGAGGGAGCGCCACCTGCAGGCATCTAAGCTTATTAGAAACAACAACATCAATGCATTAAAACAGTGTTTCAACTAAATGCTGCTTTGTTTGGTTATACATAGTTGCTTCTTTTTCATAATTATTAATATAATATGCTTATCTCTTCATAAAAGGCCCAGTGTTGCTGTGTAGAGTTCTGATAGCTTTGTAATCAGGGAAACTGCCTTGATTTGAGTCAGAGGAAGTTCTGCTGGTAGAGATAAGTTGCTAGAAATGTTACTGCGACATTTGTCAGCAGTGTTAATCAGCCTTCTGGTGACAGAGTCCACATTCTTGTTTTTATAGAGCTTAAACAGAAAAAAAACAGGCTGTTAGAGACTGGTTCAAACCGTTCTGAGGCAGACCTCTTCAGAACAAGCTGGTGGATGCTGGGCCTGTAAGAGGAGCACAACAGCTTTAAAGTTTTTCTACTGAGTGCTAAAGCAGTATTCTAAAATGATTAGGATTTATTTCAGGATGTCTTCATGTTGGGTTCAGACTACTTTCATCTCTAATGATGGAGATTTACGGACATTGTGGTCTGACATGTTTCAGTCCTGATGGAGAAAAAGAAATCCAGTTTATGTCTGTTTTTATAGAGTAGCAGCCATTCAAACTGGCCTTTCCCAGTCAAACATCAGCCAAATGGCAGCCAACTTCCCTGCAACTCCCTACAGAATCCCGTCCAACTTCCAGCCACTCCCTCCTTCTCCTGGGCATACCTATATTTTCTTACTCTGACTCCACCCTTTCACTGAATTGCAGGGTCTGACCAGAAGAAGGTGCTTCTCTTTAGATCTTAATGTCCACAAATCATGACAAAATGAATATTTTCATACAAATATTGATGTTTAAAAAAGAATTGTAGGGGACCAGCCAAGGACCCATCAAGGGAAGTGGGGACATTTTGAATGGCTACTACTGTTGGTCTCCATCCAGCTGCTCTGCTATGTTCATCATTATATCAGCCTAAACAAAACAACAACAAAAAAAAGATCTCTCAGGTTCTGCTTTGCTGATTTGCATTCAACAGAGTAACATCCGAAACGTGGTGGAACCTCTGGTGTTCTCCACCAGTGTCTCTCTGGATCAAAACCTTCCCAACAGGAGCAACACAGTTCAAGACCTTAGACGCTTCCCCGTTCTCAGCCGGAAACCTCAACCCACCAGAACCCAGGTCAGAATCTCTGCATGATTCACAGCTTTGAGAAAAATATAAATAAGACACTAAAGCCAGGACTCTAGAGTTAAACTCTCTAGTTTAAATACAATTTCTAGGCATAAATAATAGAACTGAGCTCAAAATTAAAGATTACCTGCCAAAGTAGAATAAAACAGAGCTATAGACTAAAAATGTTTAGGTATTGCACACATTAGTACTGACAGAACCACTTAGAACCTTTCATTTCTTTTTATCTCGTTATTCAGATCCACTTTCAAAAGGCCTGCGGTTCTGATAATGTCTGTCAGAGTAACCTTCACATGGTGGCCCAGTTCACAGATGAGAACAACGAACCCTTCCCCAAGTGAGTGACACAGCTGATCGGGTCATCTCTTTACCAATCAGAGCTTTATAGAGTTCAGACAAAATGAGGCACTGCAGAAATACAGCAAAAGAGGCAAAGAGGGAGAAGATGTAAAACTTTAATTAAAATAAGCAACTCCCTTCAGAGGTTTGTTCTACCCACATTCAAGTTCTTGACATCCATTTCTTTCCAGGCATAATGGCAGCCAGCTGCTGAACTACACCAGCAGCATCAGGAGGTTACTTCTGGAGGTCAATGTCAGCAACATCGCGTCACGAGGTCGACTAGCAGAGGACGCTCATGACACTGTGCTCAACGTCAGCATCCCACCTTCACTCATTTACTCCGGAGTCCAAGCAAGTGACGATGTAATGACAATAAATTGAACCTCTTCTTCTAGATTCAGCGTTAGCAGCATAAGCAGTTAGCCATGGGTTATTTACCCTTGTTGGTCAGCCTTTTACACAAGAGGTAAAAGATTCAGACAAACAACAGCACTTACCTGCTGCCAGAAGGCGAGTTCCTGATTGTTGCAATCAGACTCGGCAACAAAGAGAATGAGTCTCGTCTGTGCAAACCCTCCACTGCCTCCCCCTATGTGACAAGTAAACATAATATTTTTGAAACTACTGCACTAACAAAGATCCACCCTGCATTTTATTCATGCACAGCCTCATCCACTGTGTGTGTATCTGCTAACAAAAACATACCAGAATCTGCTAACGGTCTTTCAGTTGAATCTGATAACATAGCGAGATTGATTTACGTCGTTTTGGTTCTGGCAAAATATTATCAAATACTTAAAGTCATAGGGAAGCGGGTGTCCCAACCGTTGCGTTTCCGAATTCTCCAGAGTTGGGCACGACTTTACACGAGTGAATATAAAAAATGTGATTGGTCATTTATCAAGGGGGCAGGATTGTTGTGGCGGAAGCTTCGCAAGCAAGTTTGATTGTGGCTGGTGTCTCAGAAGCATCTTGCTAACCAGTTAGCAACTTAGTGCTAGCAGGTTCCCAATGGGAAAGTCCATTGGGACCAAGTAGCACTAAATTGGTGACTTAGAAACGACGCTGTCAAGGAACGCTATGGACAGCGGAAACATGCAAGAGGAGGAGAGTTTAGTGTCGGAGGTCGTGGATGAGTCTCCTCCGTCATCCATTTTTTATTTAGAGGAGGAAAGCGGGGACGAAGATGTTGTGGAAGAGGACGCCACGACTTGATAGAGATCCCTTTAGGGATTCATTTAGAGTGTTTAAAATCAATATCTGTCTTACTGATTTTGATATTTCTTTCTCCTACCAACGGGTTAAAGCATTACTGAACATGCGACTTAGGCAATGACATCATGTAGCAACTTTTAGGACAACCAGTTGCGACTTTCCTTGCTTAATAGTTGCCATCAGTGAATGTTGGCACCCTTTCAGTGTCGATGTCAATACCAATATTGCGCTTTGGAGGCTTATCTGGTTTGAGCAACACTCTCAAACTTTGTATTTTCCGGGAGGTTTTATTAGAAGCCAAACACCAGCACAACTATTTTAACATTTAAAAAAAAAATCAGATTTCCTGGTGATAACTCCCTTAAAGAGAGTTTCTTTATACCAAAGTTGATCAGATATTAACCTGATCCGTCACAATCAGAACAATTCCAAGGACACATCATTTAGTACAAAGATTCACAGAACCCTAACAAAACCCTGAAGGATCCGAGTTTTTTCATGTTTTCCTGTTTCAGGGAGCTTTGTCAGGAGCTGTTGTTTGTACTGTTGAAGGTGACACCCTTCTCTGCCCACTTGGAAATCCCTTCAGAAGTAACCAGAAGGTGAAGAACTGTTCCTGTAGCTCTTATCGTGGTTTATCCGTGCTAACAGACCTCTACTAAAACTGTTTTCCCTGTTACTGTGTTCCAGGTCCAGGTGTTCATTAAATTCGAGCCATCTGAGATGGCTTTGGACACCAGAGAGATCCAGTCTCAGCTGCTGCTCTCCACGTAAGATGTCCTCCCACACGTCTCCGTCTGAGTCAGTGCAGACAGACGCTGATGTGTCTCTGTGTGTCCTCAGGCTCAGTGAGCAGTCAAACTTGTCTCCGGTCTCTGTCACCTTGCTGGTGGAGTATTCTCTGCAGGCGGCTATTACTTCGTAAGAACCAACACTTTATACTGATGTACAATTGGTCGAAAAACAGGCACTTTTCTGGTTTCAGTAGTTTGGCATAAAAAGTTGATCACAGAGAAATTGGTTAAGATCCCAGAAGACATAAGGATATAAAAGAAAGTATCTGTTGGCCTTATCTTTCTTAAATCACATCTGTTTGATTTCTTCATCTGTCATCTGGTCATAGAAATAAAGTTTATATTGAATGTTTTAATCTCTTTGTTTAATGTATTAAAAGCTGATATAAACAGTGCTATGGCATTAGTATTAGGTACAGTACTTTGGCGCCATCTAGGGAGAATAAGCTTAAGAATGATAACTTCAACTGCAAAAAATTTGTTTCCATAAATCAGCATTTTTTTGTTAAAATAAATATAATGGATTTTGTCCTGAAGTGAGGTGGTAAGTGAGACACTTTGCCAATGGAACAGGACAATTTACATTTAAAATAAGATAAAAACATCTGTATTGTCTTATTTCAAGTGCATATTATCTTATTATCTTATTTAAAGAGTAAAAACACTAATTCCATTAGCAAATCATCTAATTTACCTACTTAAATTAGGGGTAAATGCACCTAATTTAAGATTTTTGCAGTGTAGAAAATTTTAACATGTCTTATTTATGTTCAGTTTATATTTAATGCATTAGATCACAATAACTGGTTCTGTGCTGGTGGATCAAAAACGAGCAAAACCTCATTTTACACAAGCTGTGTTCTGATTGGCTGCTCCCTGCTAGACTCCCACTGGATCCGATCTTCTTCAGTGGTAAAGTGATGGGTGAGCGGGCCATGAAGACCACGAAGGACGTCGGCAGTCTGGTGGTTTTCACCATTCAGGTTTGTCTGGACCTTCCAGCATGTTCTAGACCTGAGAAGCAGCAAATGCAATAAGGTTTTCTCCAACAGGTTCACATTCTGGGGAAGCCGCTGGGTCACCTTGGCAACCTGGAGGTGGAGTTTGATTGGCCGAAAGAGGTGGCGAATGGAAAATGGCTTCTGTATCTGACAGAGATCCATTTGGACGGCACTTCAAATCCTCGATGCGTCGACGAAGACATCATCAACCCTTTAAACCTCCTGGTATCCATGACACCTAAAACTCTCCTATCATCATTACAGTCTGACTCTATAGACCCCTTTTCAATTGATAAACAGTGAAATGTATTTCTGTGGGCGGAGCTAGCTGGAGGCAGAAAGATTTACCCAAGAAACGTGACAACCTTAACAACAGTAGCTATCAAGTTTTTTTTTTTTTTTTTTTTTATGATGGTCATAGAAAGTCAGATTTTATCTGAATATGGAAGGCTGGTCACTTTCCAGGAAAGTGAAGGTTATTTTAAAAACTCAACTTTAACAGACGAAAACTAATCAGTCTACCTTTACGCACTCACCTAATAGATGGATGATCTGATGGGATGGTAGCCTGGTGAGACCATCCTGATCTCGCAAGCTTTCAAGGTTTCACTCGCAGATCAGTCTGGAGACTCTCCATTAAAGAAAATTTGGAGCCGTTCACCAAACGAACGTCCAATCAGCGTTGGCTTTGAGGCGGGTTGAGGTGTGACGCAACGAGAAGCGCGACAGTTCAGTCTAAAGAACATGGCGGCTTCAGCCGATGAAACTAGCGTTAGCGTGGCTATCGAGCAAGTTTTATCGGAATTACAGAGTATTTCTCCATTGAAAGAAGAGCAAAACACTGCTCTGGAGGCTTTTCTCAGAGGAAAAGATGTTTTTGCTCTTCTCCCGACTGGTTTCGGCAAGAGTTTGATCTATCATTTGGCTCCTCTTCGTCGTCACTCTGTTAGTACGTCATATGCTTCGTTGATCTGATTGGTTTATTTGGCCCGTCTATCACCAACATAGGCCAATCAGCTAACCAGTATTTTCACCCCTTCCCAAAATTACTTCAACGGAAGGTTTCCAGATGGATATGCGGAGCAAATCCATCTGGGGGAGTCAGGTTAATGGGATGGAGGTTGAGAGGCTAAATCAAAAACTGAGTGTATATAGTTGGGAAAACAGAGGGTGAGCAGATGTTTGAGGTAGGCAGGAAATCAACCCAGGAAGAGACCTTGGTCATTGTACAGTGCAGCTCCCAGCAAAATCCCCTGCAACTTCCAGCAAATGGCCTTCTCCATGGTGTGCATATTTTTTACTCTGATTCCACTCTCACTGAATAACAGGGTCTGGCCAGGGGATGACGTTTCTCTTTAGAACTTAATGACCACAAATCATGACAGAAAAAATATTTAAGCACCAAAATTGATGATTAAAAAGAAATTGTAGGGGACCAGCCAAGGACCAGGCAAGGGTCCTTCAAGGAAATAGAAGACATTTTGAATGGCTACTACTGTAAATCTGCACTTTCATAGCTTAGTAACGGTACTTACCCAAACCATGATCCATACTAAGTGAAGACAATATTTTATTTATCTCAACCAACCTAATTTAAACCATGTTTAAACTATGTTTGATGGTCATTTTGGTCCAGTTCCCTTGCTTTATTGCATTACCTTTTTTTTTTTTTTTTTTGGTTGAAAATGGCAGGCAATTACAGAATAACATTTTTGGCTGTCTGTGCTCTGTTGATTCGTGAATCCAGAAACACAAGATGTCATTTTAATCTCCATGTGTAGTCAACCATGTTTTTTCCGTTTCTAACAATGTGCAGACGTCCCCTTTTTGGTTCGGACAGGAGAATATCAGTTTCAGCCTTGCTCGTTGGCTGGTGACTAAGCTGGTGAAGATTCTCATCCAGGTCGTAGTCATTCCAAAAAAAAAAAACAATCCACTGGACTTTGTTTCCAAGTTTGAAGACATTGCACTTCCCATCCAGGAAGTTTTTTCAGTTAAAAATGTCAGGAATAGCATTGAGTTTGAGGTTTTATACGGTAGCCCAACAAAACATTGTTTTTTTGTTTTGAAAACATGCAAATTGAAATGGACAAACGGGTCCACCCTTTTGGAATGGGGGTTGTTCGGCTTCTTTTGTTAGCCTGCAATGCCCCATACCCGTAGGGTCCTGCTTTTCTGACAGAAGCATCCAAAAGGCGAATAAACTTTTCAGAAGTTAAATATTAATTTTAATTTTAAACAGGTTCGGTAAAAAAGAAGGGTTGCATGGCAACTCCTTTACTTTCCGTTACAAAAACAGAAAAAGAAAGAGAGTACTCTTAGCACTGCTAATATTCTACCAGCTTCTCCTACTCCAGAAAACGGGGAGGACCTGCACCTGCAACATTGTTCTTGTCTTATTTTCCCCTTCCAGTAGTCAGTTTGTTTTGCGTCCAGCCAACGCTCTTACATTACAGTGACGTTGATGGAAAAAAGGGTCTATAAGAACTGACAGTATCTGTTGCTGCTTTGTAAACACTCTGCAAAAATGTGCTTCTTGTTTGTTCAGATGTCCGATGAGCAGAAAATGAAAAGGAGTCTGAAGATGGACAAAGAGGAGAAGAAGCAAAATCAGGAAGGGAAAACTCTCCCTGTCCTCGGCTTTAAGAAACAGAGGAAGACCTTAAAATTGGTGAGGACATGATGATGGACAATTTTTCAAGGCCTGTAAGCAGAAGGTTTCCACATCCCAAAGCTAGAGCCAGTTATGGTACCAGTTCTGTACTTAAGCTGAGACAGAACTGGTATCAGAAGAGCTGTTGGGGTTCTTGTCGTTGGACAACTAACAACCAATCTGCACATGACTGATTCAAAGATAAATGTAGTTAGTAATGTGGGTAAAACAGAAAGCCCTCTGATGGAGGCCAGGGGAACACTACACTAAGTTTATGGTTCAGTCTGTTGGAATCCAAATGAAAAGTGATTTTTTAAAACTGTCTTGCAGAGCTGCAGCAGCGGGGCGAGATGCGTGAAATTCTCATGTCCTCTGCTCAACGTGACCAACGTTGCAACCCTGACAGTGAGGAGTCGACTGTGGAACTCCACTATGATCGAGGTACCATCACCCACCTGTCAGGTTCTTCCTCCGTCTTCAAGCTTCAACAACTTCTAAAGCTTAGTGTCATGGTCTCTTCCTATCCAATAAAGATATATGTTGCCCAGACAAGGGCAATGTGGAGTCAACAAGTCATCTCCATGTCATGTATTTGTTCTACCACTGCCACTGAAGCAGGTGAGTCCAATCTTTGCCGTGAATTAACCTGTGCAGATTGGACTCACCTGGTTAATTGGCTGGGTAGATTAAATACATGACATGGAGATGACTTGTTGACTCCACATTGCCCATGTCTGATGTTGCCAACAGGTGCAAAACATTTACTGAACCATACCAAAGATAAAATTGTGGACTAAAGAGAAAGAACAGAAGGATACCGACGGTTGATGCCTCTTAGAGTTTGTATTTTCCTGCCCTCTAGTGGCCACAGAGTAGTATGCCTCCAATTGTGTTACAGGACTACAGCGATGTGAGCAGTGTGTCAGTTCAAGGCTTGGCCACTCTGAAGCTGAGGACCACCAAGAGCACCATCAGCATGAAGTCCTCCCCCTCAGTGGTAAAAACCTGCCTACATCACATCCTGATGGCCTCCTGCATGCATGTTCCCTGAGTCTCTGCCTCCTGTCTGCAGATCCAGGTCCACATTTACCCAGAGTCTGGACTGCTGCAGGACTCCGGCGCACCCCTGTGGATCATAGTGGTGTCAGTCTTGGCTGGGGTGCTGCTGCTGGCTCTAATATGTCTACTGCTTTGGAAGGTAAGCTGAGCTGCATCACCTGGACAGGAAAGTTAACTGTAAAGGCTGGAGCTGCTTTTCAGGAACCACCATAGACTACAATAGACAGCCTCATCATTTCATCCCCATAACATCCATCAGTCTGGTTGGTAAATTGTTATGTTGCCCCCTGCTGTTCAGTGTGGCTTCTTCAAGAGAGCCAGCACCAGGGAGCTGTACGAGGCCAAGACCCAAAGGGCCCTCATGAGGAGCCAGCCGTCTGACAAGTACAAGCTGACCGAGGAGCTCTGAGGCTGGGCTGGCTGCTGCAGGAGAGCCCTGCTGTAAGAACCACTAAATGACTGCAATCTAGCTTCTTGCAGACTAGTTGATGTCTGCACAGGCTGCTGTAAAGACCACTGACCTGCCATTTACTGCTTACTGGCTGCTAACAGACCGAGAACTGACTGTCTATGATGGCCCTGCTGTATGGACTCCTGACTGGCTGCTAAGCAGTAAACAGCTGGTTACTGACTAGCTCCTGGCTGCACAGGTTCATAAAGGACAGCCCAAACCAATGTTCCTGGTGCATTTACTGCTTACTGACTGCTTATAATCTGGTTACAGACCGTTTACTGACAGCACATACTGCTGCAGACTGTGAGAACCACAAATGAACTCTTTACTGCTTGCATGGTAGTAAACTGCTTTCAGACTGGTAACCAGCTCTGACACTGACAGCACAGGAGGATAAAGGCGAGTCCCTCTGGAAGAACCACTGACTGACTTTGTAGTGCTTTACAAATAGGTTACTGGCTGCTTATTGCCTGAGCTGACTGCCTGTGTTGCTGGCTTTTTTTCTGAAGTCTGTCATTTTTCTCACATTATTATTTTCAGACTTTCTATTTTCTCATGCCTGATACATTTCACAGCTCTCATCCTCTCAATGATCATTTCCATTTTACTTGTTGTGTCACTTTTTACTAAAAAACTGATCTTTTTCTACTCTTCTGTTGAAAAAAATAAGTTAAATTGGATATACCATTTTTAAGGGTTGCTTTAAAATAGTCTTTTGTAACCAAAAAAAGAGTATGTGTTAAGACCAGTGGTGGATGATGTAATCAACAGTAGTACTTGAGAGAAAGTAATGTTAATCATCGTCAAATCTTACTCCTCTACAATTAAAGGTTACTTGGTCAAACATATACTCAAGTATGAAATACTCATTGTTGAAAATACTTAAGTATTCATAATTAAAAATGACATTTTCTAATATCAGTATACTTCTGTTAGTCATTTTAAAGAACCTGTAACTTTCAGAAACCACCTGATGTACTGATGCATAGAACCACCTGCTACAGATTCTACACCACCTGGAAAGAACTTCAGCATAAAAGCGCCACAAAAATTATAGACAGCTATTATGATTAGTATTTCTTATTTAAAAACAACCAAAAATAAATCAGTAGTGCCTTAGTTCTTCTCACGCTTTCATTATGGAATAAAGGTTTAAGGTCTAATCTGTTACCACAGAGAAATTACAGCTCTGCTTTGAAAACTCGTCCTACTGAACAACTTGGCCACATGGAAACAACTAACGCCTTGTTTACACTTGAAATTATATCTGCCCTGATTTTCTGAAAATTCATGCAAATCTCGAAAACAGCGGTGTCAAAATTTAGTGCTAAGAGCTGCTGTTCTCCGAGCTAAAAATGCATTTCAAGAAAGGAAAAACAGCAACAGAGGATTAAAAAGCTAAGCTGAACCAAACCAAACAAATAACTGACAGATTCCTAGAAATGCAGCAGACTGAAAGAATTTTCTGCTTGGTCTCTGATTAGATAAAGACTGTGTAACTTTTAGCCACTAGGGGAGCTAAACCTCGAAGTCAGGTCTTGTTGCAGTTTGTAGCTAACCTGACTCTGCCAGATGGATTTGCTCCGCATATCCATCTGGAAACCTTCCGTTGAAGTAATTTTGGGAAGGGGTGAAAATACTGGTCAGCTGATTGGCCTATGTTGGTGATAGACGGGCCAAATAAACCAGTCAGATCAACGAAGCATATGACGTACTAACAGAGCGACGACGAAAACACAACCACAAGCCAGGCTACTCTTGCTGCTGCAGGTAAAGGCTCGTTAGCTGCGCAAATAAGCAAAATGTCGGCAACGGATATTTGCCGTTTATGTAATACTCTGTAATTCCGATAAAACTTGCTCGATAGCCACGCTAACGCTAGTTTCATCGGCTGAAGCCGCCATGTTCTTTAGACTGAACTGTCGCGCTTCTCGTTGCGTCACACCTCAACCCGCCTCAAAGCCAACGCTGATTGGACGTTCGTTTGGTGAACGGCTCCAAATTTTCTTTAACGGAAAGTAGCCAGACTGATCTGCGAGTGAAACCTTGAAAGCTCGCGAGATCAGGATGGTCTCACGAGGCTAATTTGTAGCCTTGCAAAATAAAATAGGTGTTTCATAATCTGATAACAGACCGCTTTGGACCAGCAGACTGAGACGTGATTCAATTACTTGTAAGGACGTAACTTCAAAAACCTCATTAGATTAAATCTCATATTAGAGAACCAAAAATATATCTGATCGGGTATAAATGCAGAAAAGCAATGTTTATTTTTGTTAGTTATCATGTTAAAGAAGGGTCTAGACTAGCAGTAAGGTGTGACTCAGTGTCACATGAATCTTTTAGTGACTCGTCCAACTGTCTCAACATCAGGTTTGAAGAAGGAAAGCCTTTCAAAGAGCATAAATACAACACAAGTGCTGTATATTAACCTGAAAATGTATTTACTATTTCTCAAGCCAATCTAGAACTTTTGTAAAAAGTTGCACATCCTTCCTTTAACAGCTGCATGTGTAGCTGCTCTCTAACTGCAGCCCAAACCCTAACCCATTCACCTGTCATTCTGCCTTCCCTGTGCAATGCGGTTGTGTGGAAATACTATGTTTCTTTTTTTTTCCCACAGTGTCAGTTCTTTGTACGTCAGGAGGCATGGCAGACTGCAGTGCTCCAGCAGAAAGGGATCATGGGTGACGGCGAGAAGATGCAGCAGCATGTGGATGATGATGGTTTCCTGATCCAGGATCTGGTGACCAGGACCCAGAACAGAAAAGGCCAAAAACACTGGATCACTATTTGGACTGAAAATCACTGAGAGACTTCTGGTATCCATGGAAACTGATCCTGAATTATACCAAAAAAGAACTGAACCGGACCAAATCAGATTAACACTGCCAGTCCGCCGTCATGTGCTGCACCCGTTTACCCAGAGGTCATTCAGAGGTGGAGCTGTGAGCTTTTTAAAATTTTCTATTGGTCAGACTTTTATTAATCTGTGTTTTTTTTTTGGACATCATTGATTTCATACTATTTATTCAGATTTTGGTAGCTATTGTGAGACTGACTAACAAGAATTCCTATTAAATTTAAGGGCTACATTATAAACCAGTGGAATGCTAATTTAAATACCAAATATTACCACAGAATCAGCTTTTCCTTCCATTCTGAGTTCATCATGTATCTGTATATTTTTCTTTTATGCTGCCTGGTCCAGTGCTGTTAGTGTTGTAGATATGGGTGTACAGTTTTATAATTTTTGGACTCCCTCTGAAAGCAGCTCCTGTCATTGCGTCAAAGCATTCACCGCAGTGTAAATGGATGTGCTGTCTGTATGTTGATGATATTAAGTATTTTGTATAGATGTGCTGAATGTGTGTTGATGTTAATAAACTATTTCATATGGATGTGCTGTATGCTGATGATATTAAAGTATTTAATTTGAGTTTTCTGTCTTTTTCTTGACTTTACCAAAGTATTTATTTTTATAATTCACTGGTTTATTAACTTATGAGGTCATGTCAGCCATCAGAGCCATCAGAAGTCCTTTTCACAGATGTCAATACGGTCTTCTTAGATCATCAGACAGCAGCAGATCATTTTAATCCTGGTGGTTGTGTTCGAATGGAATAACATCAGGAAATGCTGGAGGCCCAGTTATCATCTCTTTAAAATATTTGGAGTGTGGCATGGAATATTATCCTACTAGTGTTGTGTTGATTCAGCAGAAAAACAAACCGTTTTCTTGAGAACATATTTATAGGAAACTGGATCCAAGATTTCATGATGTTTTCACCTGATTCTCAAAGTCTGAATGTTCCAGCTTAAGGTAGATTTGTTGAACCAGGACAGCAATCCTGCCACTGTAAGTTGAATCCTGAATTTCCTATTTTTAGTTATAGTTGTAGCACTTTGACAACCTCATTAGTTCCCTCAAGTGTGAATAGAACCAGTGGTGTCAAAAGTTCACACATTTGTTACTTAATTAGAAGTATAGATACTGCAGTTTAAAAACACTCTGGTAAAAGTTGAAGTATCAAGTTGACCACTTTACTCAAGTAAAACTGAAAAAGTATGTGCTCCAAAAACTACTTAAAGGAATAGTACACCCAAAACATGATTAGCCTTCATTTTCTACTCACCTCCATGCTGAACAACACTCTGGAGTACTTTTTTGATATCTCAAATGCATCTGGAGATCTGGGAGGCTTCTTGCTGTCTGCTGACATTCAAATAATGGAGGTCCATGGCGCCCGAGACAGAAAGGTCCATAAAAGTCCACAAAAACGTGTCAATATTCCTCCATACTGCTCGTCCAATGTAATCCAAGTGTCCTGAGTGGGTAGCATCCAGAATTTACTCGAAACGAAGTCATTTAGAATGTTTTTAGAGCATAAACAGTAGTGTATAGGATTTCCTAATAGCGCCCCCATGCGCGCTCACGATTCTACGGAAGCCGGCAGACCAAACCGGAAGAAAGTGCGCATTCAGCGTCTGGTCTGCCGATAATGCAAGCGTAGAAGAAGAAATGTGCTGTTTACCTGTGCAAAGAAAGAAACAACGAAAGAAAAATGTCTGAGGACTTCAGTGTTGAGGAAGAGCATGAGTTCTTTGCCGAGCTGAATGCGCTGGTTTGGTCTGCCGGCTTCCGTAGAATCGTGAGCGCGCATGGGGGCGCTATTAGGAAATCCTATACACTACTGTTTATGCTCTAAAAACATTCTAAATGACTTCGTTTCGAGTAAATTCTGGATGCTACCCACTCAGGACACTTGGAATACATTGGACGAGCAGTATGGAGGAATATTGACACGTTTTTGTGGACTTTTATGGACCTTTCTGTCTCGGGCGCCATGGACCTCCATTATTTGAATGTCAGCAGACAGCAAGAAGCCTCCCAGATCTCCAGATGCATTTGAGATATCAAAAAAGTACTCCAGAGTGTTGTTCAGCATGGAGGTGAGTAGAAAATGAAGGCTAATCATGTTTTGGGTGTACTATTCCTTTAAAGTATAAAAGTATAAAGTAACCTTTAAAAAAACCAACCAGATGCCACTATATGACTTGAAAGCTCAAGTTTCCGACTATTTTGAAAAATTCTTGGAAATAGGGCCAAGGATGAGGGAGGTCTTGTTGGTCTCCGTCTCCATCTCCTGATATGCTCTCGCCTGTCAGACATTTCAGCATCTTTCAGCACCGACATTGTAGCAAGGCATTGGTAAATGGTATGTACTTATATAGCGCCTTTATTCAAGCGCTTTACACTACATTCATTCACCCATTCACGCACACACACTGATGGTGGCAAGCTACATGTAGCCACAGCTGCCCTGGGGCTCACTGACAGAAGCAGGGCTGCTGTACACTGGCGCCACCGGGCCCTCGGAGTGTCTTGCCCAAGGACACAACGACACTGAAAGTCAGAGTCGGGGCTTGAACCGTCAATCCTTCGATTCCAGGGCAAACTCCTACATCCAACGCCACTGTCGCACAGACATGGGCAATGTGGAGTCAACAAGTCATCTCCATGTCATCTATTTGTTCTACCCAGCCACTGAAGCAGGTGAGTCCAATCTTCACCGTGAATTAACCTGTGCAGATTGGACTCACCTGGTTAATTGGCTGGGTAGATTAAACATGACATGGAGATGACTTGATGACTCCACATTGTCCATGTCTGCTGTCGACCCACGGTTTGAAGAACACCTGCTGGCTTCTGATGATTTCCTTTAGCTAACCAATGAGTGTTTGCGTTCTATGACTCATCCAATCACACTAGTTTTCACTTGATGCGGGCGGAGCCAATGATCTGCATTGGATGGAGCACATGACGGGAAATAAATATTTAGAAACATTAAACAGAAGCCAAGAGTAACGAGTAACGTTTGTTTTGAAAATGTAAGGAATAGAAAGTACAGATACTTGTAATGAGTAGAAGTCAGAAGAAGGAAGAAAAATAAGTACCGGAGTAAAGTATAGATAGCTAAAAAGTGAACCTAAGTACAGTAACAAAGTATTATAGTAGTAGTAGTAGTAATACTTTGTTACTTGACACCTCTGCATAGAACCAACTAAAACCAGTTGGCTCTGGATCAGCCCTGGAAATGTTGAGCTAAGAAGAGTTGTCTAATCATCTCAACGTATACTTCTGTACATAAAACTGCTTTTTTTTTCAGTTGCTGCTTCCCTTTTGTGATGCTTCCTCTGCTTTACTTCAGCTCTAATGATGAGAAGCAGATCTGCAATCAGATCAACTCATGATGTTTCATGCTGATATCTCATGTTTTAAAGAAAAGATGAAACATTGCTGCTCATTGTTGGGTAAGATCCTCCAAGGAGAGATGTTGTGTGAGTGAAAAGGTATGTTTTTAATCTCTCACTGATGATGCAGATCAAATAACTTCTCTAAACCAGAAGTTGTTTAGAAATGCTGACTGCAGCCGATCTTTAACAGAATCTTAAATGGTCAAGTTTGTTTGCACAAAGAAGAAATACAACTTGGGTTTACTGTCACTAACATCATAATTCAATTCAATTCAGTTTATTTATATAGCTCCAAATTCACAACACATGTCATCTCAAGGCACTTTACAGTTCAACCAGATCATACAGTCAAATTTATACAAAGTTTTCTATCTAAGGAAAACCAGTTGATTGCATCGACTCATTGACTCAAATACAATCCCTCACACTAAGCATGCTTGTAACGACAGTGGAGAGGAAAAACTCCCTTTGAACAGGAAGAAACCTCCAGCAGAACCAGGCTCAGTGTGAGCGGCCATCTGCTGAGGCCCACTGGGGTTCAAGGAGACAGAAGCAGGGATATAAAAAGCAGCTGTAAAAGGCGGCGCCGTCCAGGAAACACACAGCCAGGCAGACGAGCTCCGAGCCAGCTCCCATGTCAGAGGACGAAGAGAGCACGGTCAGAGAAACAGGACCACACTGGAAAAATAACAATGCAAACAATGCAAACAGTAACACCATCATGTAAAAAACATGTTTAAAGGGGACAGGACATGATAAAATACAAAAAAAGAGCAAAATATACAAGTATGCATTGTTTATTTTTCTGTAAATAGAAAAATAGAGGATCATATATTGATCTAACAGAGAGTCTGAATACTCTGTGAGGTGTTTACTGAGACAGTTTGAGGAAGAAACTGTCTGTGTTGGAGCGTTTTTGCAATTACAGCTCCGTAGCCCCTTAGGGTACAAGTTTTAACATCTTCTGACCTTGATACACTGGGTCAGAATAAATATTTGTGGCTTTGGTTGACCCCTGTGAAAGTTGTGAATGGAGGGAAAGGAAGATCCTTTCTATAGACCGAAATGTTTGCTGTAGTTTGGATCTGTCCTGTCAAATCAGTGATGGCATTGCAGAAGATGACCAGCAGCTCCTGTGTTGCTGCATGAAGTGCAGTCTCTGCTAATCTCAGGTTAGTGAACAGGTTGGTTCAGAAACAGTCCCCAGGTAACACAAGGTCTATTAGGATGGTGAGGGGGGAGAGTGTGTGGGTGTTCTCTGGAACTCCATCCTCATCTTCACTGGGCCGGATCTATCAAAGGTTTGCATGTATAAAAACGTGAGCTATTTCACTGCGCACGCTACAAAATGTACAAACTGATCTATCAACAGCGTGCTAAAAGGATTTGGTCTTTAAAACGTGCTAAATAGCGCCTCTTATCCATTTAGTACTTTTTCTGCAATGAATATGCAATATGGGGCGTTTACACGCAAAAGTGCGTCTTGTGGGAGGAGAACATGTAAATATATTAATTTAGCACTCGCAAAGTGATTTATTAAACCTGAAAGCAATTTTGCTAACAGTATCTGACTCTATATTTAACACGTTTCAAAAGAAGGTGCAAATGGTCTGTATGCGTAATTGCACACACATGGCAGCGGTTATTGTCGCAAGAAGGAGACATGGAAATGAAGCAAGGAGACGCAGAGAACGCATTTTTTCACTCCGTGTGAATATTTTTGGAATGAACGAGGAAACGATCATCAAAACATATCGTTTATCCAGCATTGCCATTTTGGAGCTGTTGGGGGAACTCCGAATGGATTTGGAGCCAGCCACAAGGAGGACCCACGCAATACCAGATATCACTAAACTCCTTGCAACATTGGACTTTTTTGCATCTGGGTCATTCCAGCGTACGATTGCAGCGAGAGCTGGGATCTCCCAATCTCGTTTTTTAGAAGTGCTGTCCAACGTTCTAAATGCCATGTCGCCCTGACGCCCTACCGGAGAACCCCGACCTCCCCCCTGCGCCTGTGGAGCAACATGACAATGCTGCGGGGATGCGTACGCGCAGTAATCTCATCCACAGTCACTTCTTGTGAGCCATTTGGTATGTGCATTTTTCTACAGGCCAATACAAAACACCATTTTTTTTTTTTTTTTTTTACTGCAGTGAAGTAGAAATTCAGCCACATACCACCTTAGGGAATAAAGGCTGCCAAAGTTTTATATATATATATATATATATATATATATATATATATATTTATTTTTTTTATTTTTTATTTTTTTTTTTGGAGGGGGTGGGGGTGTCACTGTAAGATTTAAATTTCTTAATGCACTAGTTTGCACAAACTACAAACTACTTTGCCGTAAACCACAAAACGCGCAAAACCATCATTTAAATAGGGCGTCTCCAACAGTTTTGCACCTACCACCAGTTACGCAATCACTCTTGTTAAATCACCCGCAAACCATGGTTCAGCCCCTCGCGCAAAATTCCAGTTTGCGAGCGCAAATTACTGCACGCAAAATTGGATCTTGATAAATCCGGCCCACTGTGTTTAACATTGTCCAACCAGTCCACCTCCTGTCTGTATGCAGCCCAATGACAGTGGTTTCATCCGCTAAATTCAGGGCTTTCACAGACAGGTCCCCTGAGAGGCAGTACATACCACTGAGGAGCTCCGTTGTTGGTGCTTCTTGTACGGATTGGGATAATTGACAGCTTTACTGTCTGCTACCGGTCAATCAGAAAGCTGGTGATCCACTGGTAGGTGAAGGCCAAGGATGTGAGCTGGGTCACCTTCTGATGGTAATGGTATGGAAGACCGAGCTAAAGTCCGCAAACTGTCCCTGAGTGTTGGAAGTGGTCCAGGATGAAGTGTAAGCCGAAGGGGACTGCGTCCTTTTTTTTAAAAGCTTCAGGGTTTGATGTTTAAATAAATGAATGACAACAGATGATGGAGCAGCAGCCCTACAGGAGAGAAATATCAGCTGTGCTGCTGCCATCATCATCTTGGTTTATAGACGTTTGAGATCTCCTGGAAACACAGGAAGGAGCAATCAGCTAAGTGAGCTTAGCGCTTGGAAAAAATCATTTATTCCTTTAGAGACAGCATGAAAAGTCAGCTGAGTACAAAACATAGAGAGGAAAACAAGAAGAAAAGGGACAAGAAGAGAGGGACACAACCTAGAACAGATAATGGATGTCTATTCTATAAAAATTTCTATTTCTATTAATTAGTTTACAGGTGCTTTTTAGACATGGATTCTCTTTATGCTCCTTGTTGTTTACTCTTGCTTTCCAAATAGTTTTAATGTTTCAGATTTTAGTTTGAGCAAACAGAGGAGTTGCAAAAACACCTTCTGCTCTGCAGGATGACGGATCATCTCTGTTGTATGGAGAAACTTCTTAATCAGAGGAAGTTAAAATTCATATTAACATCAGTCATTCCTGTGATGAAACTGCAGAATCAGAAGAATAAAACATTAACTCCGCTTCTGTAGAAGTTCAGATCAGCGGCTGCAGACGTTCACCTAAAGGGTTACTGGTCAGTCCTGATTGTCTTTATTAGCTTAAGCTTAGTTTTCCTTAGATCAATAAAAACCAGCCTACTTGTTTGAAGAAGACGAACTCTTAAAACAGACCAGCTCCATTAAACCTCAGATCAGCGGCGGCTTTGAGCAGAGCTCTAAAATGGTTCCAGATGTGAGGAAGATACTAATTCATTTCATTCTAATGTTTCAGGTGTCATCAGGATGACCTCCTTTATGTGTCCCTTCCTCTTCCTCCTCCTCATATTTTCCTCCATCAGCGCCATCAATCCTCCTGGGTTTAAAGTCCGGATCACCAACCGTGCTCTGAACACATGTAAGATTTCTGTGACCTAGACTCTCAACATGGCTGTAAACTCTAATGCTGGTTAAAGTTTCTGCAATGCTACAACTATGTTTGTTTTTACAGTGAGAGATGAAGCTCAGGCCTTGATTCAGGAGCAAGTGGTTGGAAAAACATTCGAAAGCATTGACTTTTTAAACGTTCATTTAAGAAAGTAAGATATTATCACACCCACACTCACTGCTGCGAAGTCTGATTCCATTGAACTCAGGTTTGATTCACACTCTATTCCTCTCACTGGAAAAAATCGAAATCTAGACAAGTAATATTTTCTTAAAATAAGTGCATTTGTTCTTGAATTGAGGAGGTAAGTGAGACACGTTGCCAATGGAATAAGACAATTTACATTTAAAATTTAAAAAAAAAAACAATTGCATTGTCTTATTTCAAGTGTATTTTATCCAAATATCTAATTTTAAGAGTAAAAATACTCATTCAATTGGCAAATCATCTCATTTACCTGCTCAAATTAAGAGTAAATACACTTTTGAAACGACAAACTTGCTAATTTTTAGATAGTTTTTCCAGTGCTGTTGGTATCAGGAATCATATTCCAATATCTTGTTATTTCCAAGTTAAAGAGTCTTTTTTTATCAGTGTGATTTTCTGTGTTTAATTTTTATCTTAATAGGGTGAAACTTAATCGGTTTGCATGTTCTATTTTTGTGCAAACACTTCTCATGCATTGCAAGGGCAAATTTTTTTGCAGAGTAACTTATCACTCCTTAATAGCAGTCTTTGAAAACAAAGCATATCAAGGCAAGGCCGCACATTTCAAAGTGCTGCACAAGAAAAAAAAATAATAGGAAAAGTTCCTTGCAGTAGCACACAGGTAATTAAATAATAACAAAATTAAACATAATGAAAAATACCTGAAATGTAATGATTCATAAAAAAGAAAAGAAAATGTGGACTCCAAACTTTGTTAATAATGTTAAGATAGTAAAGTAAAGAATAGATTTTTAATCTAGATTTACCACTAATTACCTAAACATATTTAGTTAAGTTTGCATTCCAACTTTCTCTTTTTTCTACCAATAATTTCATGACTATTTTTGATCATCTTATTTAAATTATTCACTTTTATTCTCTTTAAATATTAATGGCTATTAATGATTTAATTACCTTTATGCCATTGCAATTTACTTTCCCTATTCTGTTTCTTTTTTTTTTTTTTTTTTGGAAAAAAGGAGCGGCGCACATGTCTACTTAGTATTTTCATTACCCACCATCTGCAGGGAGCACGTACTTTAAATTCGTTCCCCCTGCCAGGAAACAACATGGCCACTATCTTTAATCAGGAAGCGGTGATGTGAGGTTGAGTGCGACCATAACTGCAAAAAGTTGAAAAAAAGTGTCTCTTTTAGAATAATCAGGACTTTGTTCAGCTTTACTTAAAGGAATAGTACACCCAAAACATGATTAGCCTTCATTTTCTACTCACCCCCATGCTGAACAACACTCTGGAGTACTTTTTTGATATCTCAAATGCATCTGGAGATCTGGGAGGCTTCTTGCTGTCTGCTGACATTCAAATAATGGAGGTCTATGGCACCCGAGACAGAAAGGTCCATAAAAGTCCACAAAAAACGTGTCAATATTCCTCCATACTGCTCGTCCAATGTATTCCAAGTGTCCTGAGTGGGTAGCATCCAGAGTTTACTCGAAACGAAGTCATTTAGAATGTTTTTAGAGCATAAACAGTAGTGTATAGGATTTCCTGAAAGCGCGTTCATGAGTCTACGGAAACCGCGGCAGACCAAACCAGATGAAAGTGCGCATTCAGCTCAGCAAAGAACTCATGCTCTTCCTCAACACTGAAGTCCTCAGACATTTTTCTTTCGTTGTTTCTTTCTTTGCACAGGTAAACAGCACATTTCTTCTTCTACGCTTGCATTATCGGCAGAGCAGACGCTGAATGCGCACTTTCATCTGGTTTGGTCTGCCGGCTTCCGTAGCCTCGTGATCGCGCAGGCGCGCGCTTTCAGGAAATCCTATACACTACTGTTTATGCTCTAAAAACATTCTAAATGACTTCGTTTCGAGTAAATTATGGATGCTACCCACTCAGGACACTTGGAATACATTGGACGAGCAGTATGGAGGAATATTGACACGTTTTTTGTGGACTTTTATGGACCTTTCTGTCTCGGTCACCATAGACCTCCATTATTTGAATGTCAGCAGACAGCAAGAAGCCTCCCAGATCTCCAGATGCATTTGAGATATCAAAAAAGTACTCCAGAGTGTTGTTCAGCATGGGGGTGAGTAGAAAATGAAGGCTAATCATGTTTTGGGTGTACTATTCCTTTAAGAGCCTAATTGCTAGAAGCTGCAAATACATTCCTGCAGTGGCTGTAAAGGGATATCATGAAATGGGTGGACACGGCACGGCAATAAATGTAGGTGTGCCTCTTCCAGGTTGAAGGAAAACGACTAATATTTCATAGCAGGTGAGCATCCCATAGTGCAAAGACAATATATTATCTTATCTTTGCCTAGAGTTGACTTGTTCTGGTCAGAACATCAGGCCTCATTGAGACCAACACCTCATCAGCAGCTTAAAATGAGGAAGAGTAGGAGGCTTAGGGCCTTCTGAATGTGAGTGACTGAACATTTTAAACATTGAATTAATCAAAGTTTTTTTTTTCTGCTGTGTTCAGTCTGAGGTTCACTGAAGTCACTATGAATCGAGTCCATCTCCAGTTCGTGGAGAACTACGGTTTCCGGCTCGTGATCGAGGACTTCAGGTTTACCATGAACTGTGACAGCACTGTAAATTTTTATGTTGTGTAAGTACTTTGTTCAGTTTGGTCCAGTTTGACAGTAACATTAGAACGAGGCTCCAGACTGTTGCTGAATTCAGTGACATCAGTAAATAAGATACCTTTGCTAATTCCCAATCATTTTAATCATGGCAACCACAAAGCAGACTTAAATTGGAGGCAGGCGGACTTTCGCTCAGTTTTTCTGAAAATTGATGGGTGTCCTGATATCTTTTTTAGTAAATAGTCTGGTGATGTCCTGACTGGTCAAAAGCATGTAGGAAATGTTTCTAATTCCTCAGTTTCCTTCACTGGAACCCTCTATAGCAGAGATCTTCAACGCTTTCCAGGCCAAGGACCCCCAAAGAGATGGAGCGGGGACCCCCTAATTTTATGCATATATATATATATATATATATATATATATATATATATATATATATATATATATATATATATATATATATATATATATAAACTGTTTTCTGACCCCTCGTGGGGTGGTATGTGTCATCCTCAAGCTCGGGTCCTCTACCAGAGGCCTGGGAGTTTGAGGGTTCTGCGCAGTATCTTAGCTCTTCCTAGGACTGCGCTCTTCTGGACAGAGACCTCTGATGTTTTACCTGGAATCTGCTGTAGCCACTCTCCCAGTTTGGGGGTCACAGCCCCTAGTGCTCCAATTACCACTGGCACCACTGCTGCTCTCACTTTCCACATCTTTTCTAGCTCCTCCTTCAGTCCTTGGTATTTCTCAAGCTTCTCGTGTTCTTTCTTCTTGATGTTGCTGTCGCTTGGGATTGCCACATCTATCACTACTGCCTTCTTCTGCTGTTTGTCGATCAACACGATGTCTGGTTGGTTAGCCATCACCTGTTTGTCAGTCTGGATCTTGAAGTCCCATAGGATCTTAGCTCGGTCATTCTCAGCTACCTTAGGAGGTGTCTTCCATTTTGACCTTGGGACTTCCAGCCCATACTCATGGCAGATGTTCCTGTACACTATGACAGCTACCTGGTTGTGGCGTTCCATGTATGCACTTCCTGCCTGCATTTTACACCCTGCTGTTATGTGCTGCATTGTTTCAGAGGCATCTTTGCACAGTCTGCATCGGGGGTCCTGCCTGGTGTGGTACACCCTGGCCTCTATTGATCTTGTACTGAGTGCCTGTTCTTGTGCTGCCATGATTAGTGCCTCTGTGCTGTCCTTCAGTCCAGCCTTTTCCAGCCACTGGTAGGAGTTTTTGATATCAGCCACTTCTTCTATTTGTCTGTGGTATACGCCGTGCAGCGGCTTGTCCCTCCATGATGGTTCTCCTTCCTCTTTCTTGTCCTCACTTTCGGTTTTCTCCTGCCTGAGGTACTCACCAAGCCATTTGTCTTTGGGGGCCATCTTTCTGATGTACTCCTGGATCTTAGTTGTTTCATCCTGGACAGTGGTCTTGACACTCACTAGCCCTCGGCCTCCCTCGCTACGCTTGGTGTACAGTCTCAGGGTGCTGGATTTGGGGTGAAACCCTCCATGCATTGTGAGGAGCTTTCTCGTCTTGATGTCAGTAGCCTCTATCTCCTCCTTTGGCCAGTTTATTATACCAGCGGGGTATCTGATGACTGGTAGGGCATATGTGTTGATGGCTTGGATCTTGTTTTTCCCATTCAGCTGACTTTTCAGGACCTGCCTTACTCTTTGTAGGTATTTAGCTGTGGCAGTCTTTCTTGCCATCTCCTCGTGGTTTCCGTTAGCCTGTGGCACCCCAAGGTATTTGTAGCTGTCCTTAACATCTGTTATGTGGCCTTCTGGTAGTTCAACCCCCTCGGTTCTGATCATCTTCCCTCTCTTTGAGACTATGCGACCGCACTTGTCCAGTCCGAATTACATCCCAATGTCGTTGCTGTAGATCCTGGTAGTGTGGATCAGTGAGTCGATGTCTCGCTCACTCCTGGCATACAGCTTGATGTCATCCATGTAGAGGAGGTGACTGATGATTGGTCTGATTAGTCTTTGTAATGATCTGGCTGAGGGGGTTCAGGCCTATGCAGAACAGCAGCGGGGATAGTGCATTACCCTGGTATATGCCGCACTTGATGGTGACTTGTGCTATTGGCTTTGCATTGGCTTCCAGACTTGTTTTCCACAGCTTCATTGAGTTCTTGATGAAGGCTATTAGAGTCCTGTTGATCTTGTACATTTCCAAGCATTCCAGTATCCATGTATGTGGCATTGAGTCATAGGCTTTCTTAAAGTCAATCCAGGCGGTGCACAGATTTGTCTGCCTGGTCTTACAGTCTCGAGTGACTGCTCTATCCACTAGTAGCTGGTGCTTGGCTCCTCTGGTGTTACTGCCTATTAACACCATATATATATATATATATATATATATATATATATATATATATATATATATATATATATATATATATAAATTAGTGGGAAATACTGCAGCGGTGGGTGGGAAAAATAAAGTATAATCAACCGAAACTTTCACGACCCCAGTGCAGTGTCTACGTGGACCCCCTGTTTAAGACCTCTGCCCTAAAGCCTCAGTGCTAAAGTTTAGCTGTATTTAGTCCCTTAATGCTGCAGCAGCCAAAGCAGACCCATATGATGTCAGAAAGTTCGACCATTTTCTTGCTCATCATAAATAAAGTTTTCTGCTTCTTTTTCCAGTCAGCCCAGCGGATCTGCTACATTGGCCACTAATGGGGCATCCGCCACCATGGAAGTGGGTCTAACTAGAACTGCTGATGGACGACTAGAAGCCGCCATGAGGAACTGCAAGGTTTCAACCAACCAACTTCAGATTGTTGGAACAGGTTTACCCAGGTAACTGACTCCTGGACTAAATAAGCCATTCTGGGTCTGTAGATGTACTGAAACTTTGTTTTTCTTCAGGATCGCTGAGGGGGCATTGGAAAAACTTTTAATCTACCTGGTTTGTATCTTTATTCTGTTTATTGATGCCACAGCTTAGTGACCAGAAATCATAGAACTAAAACTTAATGTTTATTGAATAGCGGAAAGGTGAAAAGGACTCTCTCTTCTAACAGGTCTGCACTCTAATCAATCGAAAAGGCATATCTGCGCTCAACAGCTACCTGAGCACAGCTCCAATGGTAGCAGACGTCTTCCCAGACCTTGGCATCAAGCTTGACTATTCCCTAACCAGAGACATCCAAGTCACAACCCAAAGCCTGGACATGTCTTTCAAAGTGAGGAAATAAGAATTTTAAGTTAAGGATGTTACTTGATGACAATCAAATTATCATGTCTTATTTAATTAGTTTTAAATTTTCAGAAGTTTCCACATTATTTTAAAAACTTTGTTCCTGGGATTAGTTCTGTTAGATTCATGATTACGCCATGTCACGTCTGCTAGGGCCAGGCATACGTGCAAAACCAGCCGCCTCTCATGGAGAAAGGTGGCGTGGAGCCTGTTTTCAAAGAGAACAACATAATGGCTTATGTGGGCATCACTGAGTTTTTCTTCAATTCTGCAGCCAGATCATTTTACGACGCTGGGATCATGAGCAAGAAGTTCGAGGTGAGAAGAGCCTCCATTAAGTTAACATGTTAAACTTGAGCAAAAAAAAAACTCCTTGGTAGAACCATGTTGTTTGCATTTTTTATACTTGAAACTAAAACACCTTCTGTGTTTAAAACAGATCAAATCGAAAATTGGAAAGGCCGCTTTAAGAATCATCCAGTTTTTCACAGTAAGGAGTCAGAATCATTCCAAACAAAAGACTTTTATGATATTTAATCTGAAACAGGAGGACTCCATTGCCTCCTATTTGTTACAAAACAGAAGACAAAGCTGAACCAAAATAATCTTTCTGCAGCAACCATGGAACATGGATGAATCTCTTCAAACTGAATTGAAACTCATCGAGGCACCAACTATCAAGATCACCCAGGCTGATGGCTTCATCTTTAACATAAGGGTGGCAGGATCAGTCATCTCTTCAGGAAGTAGAAAGCCCACTGTCCTCTCCTTATCTGTGGTAACATAACCTCACTCTCAAAGATTTAGGTGCACTGCAAAAAATTGAAATTAAAGTCATTTTTTCTTAAAATAAGTACATTTTTTCTTGAATTGAGGAGGTAAGTGAGAAAATTTTTCAATGGAACAAGAAAATGTACATTTAAAATAGGGAAAGAAAAATCCATTGTCCTTTTTCAAGTGCATAGTATCTAATTATCTTATTTTAAGAGTAAAAATAGTCATTCCATTGGCAAATATGTCATGAAACGAGGACAGATGGACCCAGTATTCAAGGAGAGACAGTCAGTAGGAAGGTTCAAAAGATTTATTAAATGAACAACAAAACTAAAAGGGGAGCTGCTAGAATCTGTGGCACGCGGCAACTGCAGGCGGGGGGGCGGGGCATCGCCCAATCTTAGACACTCTGTAGTGGGAGAAACGCAGGTAAGTGACCAAGATCATCTGACAGAAGATGATTATCTGAGTTGGTCACTTGCCTGGTTTAACAGTCCAGTCCAAGATGTCCCCAGCAGTCCCAGAGGTCATGCAGGAAAGCCGATCCTGGAAGGGATCCAGAACAGAAAGGAACAAACAGAACAGGATCCAGATCCGGCTGGAACAGGCAGGTGGCAGGATCCAGGCTTCCAGACATCATAGAGCTCCCAGGCAGGTTCAGAGTCTGAGAGAGTTTCGAAGCGAGACCAGGTGGTCACGCACAGGAGCAGACAGGATCAGGTGCAGGTGAGCAGGCTCAGTGGAAGAGGGTAGTCGAGACAGGACCGTGGAACCAGAACTTGATGCAGGACTTTAAACTGGTCTCCTCCCTGGAGCCAGGCTTACTGAGATAAAAACTGAACCTCCCCCCATAATGAGCCAAAACCCAGAGGACTCAGCGGGGGAGGAACAGTGGACGATCAGGAGACGAGACAAACACAAAAACCCTCTTTCCACTGGCTGCTAGGATCCAGAACATGAACCATGAACTAAAACTGAACAGACAGACTGACAGAAAGACAAGAAATGATCTGGCCCTGAATGCTCAGGCTGAACTGAATATAACCCAGAGGAAACAGGTTAGGGGAATAAATTATAATTGAGACTGGGAGGGAAAACGAATTAAGGAAGAGCAAACAGGCCAGATCATGACAAAATAATCTTATTATCTACTTGAATTAAGGGTAAAAACACTTAATTTAAGAAAAATGTACTTATTTCTAGATGTTTTTGCAATGTGGACGACCATTGCTTTCTTCTCGATGATCTCCATTTCTGCTGCAGGTCTGTCCTGGAAGTATGATGATAACCATTGAAGGAGATCGCCTTTATTTGCCTTCTAAAGACTTCAAGTATGGAAACACAGAAACACGAGGGGTTATTGGATTGTGCACATAAGGAGCATTTTACTCCTTTTGACATTTTTCTTCTCTGTTTTAGCTGTCAAGTTGAATCTAAATCTGTATTTAATGTAAGGAAATATATTTTCTTTTTCTTCCCGGCACCGATCTGTATAAAGTAATGACTAAATAATGAATTTGCCGTGTTTTTGCTTTGCAGAAGAAGCTGAATAAGAAGATCAACAAAAAAATCCAAGAGTTCCTGTCAGGTGAGATAACAGAGAGCTAAAATCCTGGCTAAGCAAATTGGCAATAACAGCAACCAGCTAAACAGAAGACTATAAAAAATGGTAAAATCAATTGCACAGGGAAGGAGAAACACAGATCTAAGAAAAGAAAACACTTTACTTATTAAAACGTCCTATTCCTATTAAATGTTCAAAAGGAAAATGTATAAAAATGTTCAAAAAGGAAAACAGGAAAAAATGTGAGTAATGTGCGGAGAACTGCATAGATGTAGGAAAATTATCAGGCAGCCAAAAACCTGTGCAAATACAGTCATGATCTAAAACACTGAGCTGTAAATAATATCAACAGCTAACAATATGGTTATAGATGCTTATGGGGCGTGTTAGAATCAATAGCAGCTTTGGGGGATGCCAAAAGTGGATTTTCTAATTACCATAATTGGTCTTTACCAACCACGCCTGCTGCTATTACATGTCAGACCATTACCTCTATCCAACCGGCTGAAAAACACATTTAAAACCATGAAAAATCACAACCGGCTGAAAAACACATTTAAAACCATGAAAAATCCCAACCGGCTGAAAAACACATTTAAAACCATGAAAAATCAGCTTTAAGTGGCAGAGGGAACAGCTAACAGATGCCTGCCTACCTGGGTCAAACAAATGAAATTATGTAATACCATTGAACCTAACGTACTGTCGTCAACACACCGATCCAGTCGTTTCTGATATAAGAAGCCGAAACAACTCTTTTTACATTCGATAAACATGAAAGAGCACTGGTAAGAGGGATTCGGACAAATAATAGAGCCTGACAACGCCTTGGCTTACTTACACTTGCTCTCCATTATTTACTTTCCTTATTTCTGTCGCACTGGTGACATCATCAACGCTAACCCTGCGTGACAGTGTAACCAGATACGCCACTGCGGGGGGAGTGAAGCCATGCAGCTGGCCAGCATGGGGTTAGACACAGCTTTTTTGCAAGTGGGAAGGGAGCCAAAAGCCGATTGTCAGCTGGTCAATCCGTGTTTGAAAAACGCGTTTTAATGTACTATTTCATTTGGAAAGAGCCTCATGAAAGACGGCAGTAAAGAGTGAAGGAAGGTCCCAGGACTGCCCCCGGCACTCCCAAAGTTCTCCACAGCAGGGAAAGTGCTCTAACCCTTCCTGTGAAGAACTTCAGTGTTGTGACGTTAAATTAAAAATCCAATTACTTCTAAGAGTTCATGTCCGCAACATTAGAAGATAAAGTAAGAAATAAAAAGTTCTTCAATAAATCAGCAGAACTCTTAATTGAAGGTAAATCAAGAGTTCCAACTTCTGCAGGTGACCCAGTTTAGATGTGGAAACAGGATATGGTGACGGGGAGCAGAGCAGATGGAGGAATCAATTCAATGGCCCCGTTAAGCCGTGCATACACAGTACGATATTTTCATTCACTGTATTCAGCTTAAGCTTAAACTGTACGTTGAAACCGCAGGGTTTAAAAGTTCGCAGCTCATGATGCATGCTCTTCCACTGTACGACCCGACGCTCTAATGCGATCTACCTGCTCAAACTGCTCGTCCAAAAACCACTCATTGAACTTATTGCCAAGAGATGGCGCTGGTCAGACTCATCAATGTGAAAGAATAACACCCCTGTTTGCACATGTGCAGTGCGTGAGGTACTGGTAAATCGGCTCGTAGCTCTTCTTCTACAGCAGGATTTGTTTACAAACACTTAAGGAGGGCCGACTGAATTTCAAACATGTCTGACCTGATCCTGAGGTGCTCATGAGAGGCTAATCTCCCCTCATTACCCCCCTGTATACTACATGAAGCAGGGTGCACAATGAGGCTGATCGAAAAATGTTTGCACGACCGCAGAATCGACCCTCAAAGGGCAAAAAAAAAAAATCGTACAGTGTATGCCCGGCCTTATGGCGCACAAACAAGAAACATGCCTTCGGAAGAGGGAAAGCAAGGTCTAGTCCTGCAAAAGGCTTACTTGCTTCCAGCAGAATGCCTGATTACCACAGCTTTGGTTTACTACTGCTCAGCCTGGATGAAGAAACAATCTCTCTCACTCCTTTTTCACCATTAGCCCGTCTGTAAAAGCTAAACCCTCATTCAGACCTTTTGAGAAGGCGACCGACTCATCGTGTTGCTGAGCTCAGACCATTCAGACCTAATTTCATGTAGACAGAATATAAATAATCAACTTTGTTTTTCATTACAACAAAAGTTGTCATCTGCATGTAACCCGAAACCCCCCGTAGGAAGCAGTGTGGGCCTAAGGGTTTTGATCAGCAACCCAACCTGGCACATACAGTCCCCTGAAAAACTGAGCTTTGTGCTCTAACCACTCCCCCCAAAATAAATATACAAGCTGCAGGACAAGATGATCATGCTGAGAACTTTGTTTTTGCAGATTGGTTTGGTGAGGGATGGAAGATTCCTTTTCCGGAAGGAATGAACTTCATCCAGGGAACCGTACAATATCAGAATGTAAGTCTTACTTGAACTATTTATTTGTTTTAATATTCATTTAAACTTTAATTATTTTCATGTTTCCTTTATTTATTTTTACTTTTTTAGCCCTTTAAAATTCCCCTTCAATGTGTTTGGAATATTATGCATTATCATTATTATTGTTTTGCTGTATTTAAACCATTTTTTACCTCCAAGTCTGTGGCTTAGAACATCTTCTTTCTCTCAAACAACCAATCTGTAGCACATGAGGTTTACTGATTCAAATAGGATTCTCCACACCAGCTATCCCAAATCTCAACAAGCCCAATGCATGAGCAATTTGGCTTTTCTTGTTTGTTTGTTTGAAACCTTTATTTAACCTGGTTATGTCTAACTGAGGATACACATGCCTTTTAAAAGAGAGACATGAGCAATTTGGGATTTAAAAAATGGGATTTTAAAAAGAAAATGAAAACAAACGCAGCTATCTATTTAAAATAGAAATAAAATAACACTTAATTTTAAGCAAAGCACTGGCAAAAAATACCTTATTTACAAACTGATTGAGATTGGCCTTAAATGTATTAAAAGAAACAAATTCCTTCAACTTTAGGTCATTCTGCAGCTCATCCCAATATGAAGAAGCAGCAAACTGGAGAGATTAGTTTTTCCATTCTCAGGATGAATCTTAGGCACAGACAATGGAATGAATTTGTTTGTGCGCAAAGAATAACCATTTGGAGGTTTTCTAACAAAAAGAGACGATAGATAGGGGGCAGTAAACTGAAGATGGCTTTATAAATTAAAAGAAAAAGATAAAAAGATGGTAAAAATCTGCAGGTGGACATAGCAGTCTAACCAATACAGGTATACAGAAGACAATGGTGAGTTAGGATTCCTAGACCAATGATGAAACATAATCCTCCATGATACACAGAATCTAGCCTATGCAACTACTATGAACATACATGCATATAAATGATGTGACCATAATCTAAAATGGGCAAAAGAGCAGCAGCAACAAGACATTTCCTAGCATCAAATGATAAGATCTAATTCTAAAATTTCTTTAACAACCTGTTAAATTTAAGGACCAAAACCCAGAGAATCACCAATGATCAAGCCTAGATATTTATACTGAGACACAACCTGGAATATAATGCATCAATTGTGATCTCACTAACTTTTTATGATTTGAGAACATTAATTTCTGTCTGTTCCTGTTTGGCTGTGACTCCATCCTGGAGAGAAATATCAGCTGTGCTGCTGCCATCAACACCTTTGTTTATAGATGTCGGAGATCGGCCTGTTTTTCAGTGTAGTCCTGTTTCTCTGACTGTGACTGGCTGGATGTGCTCTCTTCATCCTCTGACGTGGGAGCTGGCTCGGAGCTCGTCTGTTGGAGGATTCTTCCTGTTCAAAGGGAGTTTTTCCTTTCCACTGTCGCCACAAGCATGCTTAGTGAGAGGGATTGCCTTCGAGTCAATGAGTCGATGCAGTCTAATGGTTTTCCTTAGATAGAAATCTTTTAATCAATCTGACTGGATGATCTGATGAATTATAAAGTGCCTTGAGATGACGTATGTTGTGAATTGGAGCTATAGAACTAAACTGAATCGAACTGAATTAATTTAAATTTCCTAGTATTTAAAACTAGCTTCTGATCACCCAAATTAAAAAGCTAAAATAAAATAAAAAAAATGATTGTAGGTTGTTAAAAGAACTTTTCACAGTATTGGCAGCAAAATATAGGACAGTGTCATCTGCATAAAAATTAAATCTAGCGTGTGGGACATTTTTATATAAACTATTATCGATTATAAAAAGAAGAGGACCTAGGATAGAGCTTGTAGGACACCTTTGGATACTTGAAGACGGGTGGAAAATTGTCCTTTCATTTTCACATACTGTGACCTCCCAAACAAGTAGTCACACATGCAGACAGTGCTTAAAGGAATAGTACACCCAAAACATGATTAGCCTTCATTTTCTACTCACCCCCATGCTGAACAACACTCTGGAGTACTTTTTTGATATCTCAAATGCATCTGCAGATCTGGGAGGCTTCTTGCTGTCTGCTGACATTCAAATAATGGAGGTCTATGGCGCCCGAGGCAGAAAGGTCCATAAAAGTCCACAAAAAATGTGTAAATATTCCTCCATACTGCTCGTCCAATGTATTCCAAGTGTCCTGAGTGGGTAGCATCCAGAATTTACTCGAAACGAAGTCATTTAGAATGTTTTTAGAGCATAAACAGTAGTGTATAGGATTTCCTGAAAGCGCGTTGACGAGTCTACGGAAACCGCGGCAGACCAAACCAGATGAAAGTGCGCATTCAGCTCGGCAAAGAACTCATGCTCTTCCTCAACACTGAAGTCCTCAGACATTTTTCTTTCGTTGTTTCTTTCTTTGCACAGGTAAACAGCACATTTCCTCTTCTACGCTGGCATTATCGGCAGAGCAGACACTGAATGCGCACTTTCGTCTGGTTTGGTCTGCTGCGGTTTCCGTAGACTCGTGAACGCGCTTTCAGGAAATCCTATACACTTCTTTCGTTGTTTCTTTCTTTGCACAGGTAAACAGAGCAGAGCAGACGCTGAATGCGCACTTTCATCTGGTTTGGTCTACCGGCTTCCGTAGCGTCGTGAGCGCGCTTTCAGGAAATCCTATACACTACTGTTTATGCTCTAAAAACATTCTAAATGACTTCGTTTCGAGTAAATTCTGGACGCTACCCACTCAGGACACTTGGAATACATTGGACGAGCAGTATGGAGGAATATTGAAACGTTTTTTGTGGACTTTTATGGACCTTTCTGTCTCGGGCGCCATAGACCTCCATTATTTGAATGTCAGCAGACAGCAAGAAGCCTCCCAGATCTCCAGATGCATTTGAGATATCAAAAAAGTACTCCAGAGTGTTGTTCAGCATGGGGGTGAGTAGAAAATGAAGGCTAATCATGTTTTGGGTGTACTATTCCTTTAACTTTTCAAGAGGTCTGTCAATATTAGATTATTTAACATCAAAACAGTGTTATGGATAGAAACAAAAACTACTTTACATATTTAGCCCCTTTGAAAACTGGTATTAAAGAGGAAGTTACTAAATCTCTTCTCAGATTCTGCCTTTTAATCATCATTTTAACTGATTCCTCTGTTTGTCTTTTCCTGCTTGCAGGGCTTCGTAGTGGTGGGAGGAGACCTGCGCTTTACTCCAGCTGGGAGGGAGAAACTGTTTAACAAGATCATTCCTGGGACATAAACAAGGAAAAGAACCTTCTGAAAGTCACAGCTTTGTTCAGAAATAAAAACCTTCAGCATCTCAGAGTTTTCTATCTGACCCCATCCTGGGCTCCTACGCTCACTTGGTTATAATCTCAACATTTCAAATAAGAGAAATATAGTAAAAGACGCACTGCTTCTCTGCTGTATAATCGGTTTAATCTGAATCCTAAGGTATTTCAATCTGAAAAACTCACATGGTGGAAAAAGACAATTAGAAGAAATTTATTGATACAATTATTTTTTTCTTTGGCGCTCGGAACTCGGCAGAAAACATCTTAGATTGAGGAGGTAAAAGTGACATTTTGCCAAAGGAAGAAGACAATTTACTTTTGAAATAAGAAAACATTGCATTGTCTCATTTCAAGTGCATTATATCTAATTATCTTATTTAAAGAGTAAAAATATTAATTCCATTGGCAAACCACCTTATTTATCTACTCAAATTAGGGTAAATACACTCAATTTAAGAGATTTTTACTTATTTTTAGATCATTTTTCCAGTGTAGCACTGAATTTTGATAGATATGCACACTCGAAAAAACAATCTAGAAATACATAAAAAAATTCTTAAATTTAGTGTATTTACCCTTAATTTGAGTAGGTAAATGAGATAGTTTGCCAATGGAATGAGTATTTTTACTCTTAAAAAAAGATATTTAGATAATATGCACTTGAAATAAGACAATGCAATTGTGTTTTCTTATTTTAAGTGTAAATTGTCTTGTTCCATTGGCAAGATGTCTATTTTACCTCCTCAATCTAAGAACAAATGCACTTATTATAAGAAAAATTACTTATCTAGATTTGGATCTTTTCCAGTGCATGAACAGGAGCAAGAAACAGGGCTGTTTCCCCCCCAGGTCTCAAACTGGTGGTGGAGTGGAGATAGATGGAGTTGGTCAGTCTGTAGACTGCTGGTTGGAGAGACGGTCTGCTGAGCTTTATGGGGAGATCCAGTGGACTGCGTGAGCTGATACTAGAGCTTCACTCAGGGACCTGAAAGATGGAAGTCCATTTTGGATAACACAGGTTGAGAGAACCTGTCCATGATGAGCAAGCATGGAGCGACAGTGGAGAGGAAAAACTCCCCATTGGGAAGGAAGTGAAATGAGACGCGGAATGCAGTAAGAATCCAGGAGAAACTGATGAAGCTTTAGCTACGATGGTGGAGGAGGGGCTGGAGGAGGGTTGAAACGGGGTCATCTGAATGAAGTCACACAGCACAACCCCCGCCTGCTCACAGGGTAGCAGACGAGTTGCGGATCGGAGGACTTTTATTATGAACTTTGGATGCTGATTAAATTTCGTGGAGGTGCGGTTCAAAGCTGATTGGCTGTGTCGGAGGCGGACGTAGGCGAGCAGTTTCTTCAGCTGAACTTCCGCCTAGGCTCTATATGTAGGGCCAAAATGTATCATGACATAAGTACCAAATCAATCATTAAATATACCAAGTTATGAAATGCACAATTAACTAATTAAATTTCAGATTTTTGTAGATAAGTCAAAATGTTTTATGTATTTATAAGGAAACTAAAGGAATTTTAAGATGGAATAGAATAACACATTTTAAGGGGGTGCTTGTTTTGGAGTCACAGGCAGAAACGTTTGGGAACTCCTGCTTTGTCTATCTTTTCTTATCTCTTTTTGCAAGGAGGACACAAATATAAATGGAGATGCAGGACCATCAAGGGACTTTAATTTTCAGAAAACAGAAACGGTCCAGAAACTAACAGTGCTCCACAAACCTTGTTAAAGTCCTGATTAGACATAAAGAGCAGCTGTTCAACTTTTTCAACATGTTCATTATGCAGAACAATAACCGATTTAGACAACTATGATGTATAAATGAGATTTATTACCAAGGGTTTAATGTAAATCTAGTCCATCTTCACTGATTTGTTTGGAAAATACAGATTTGCTCAGTTTCCTGTTGGTGTAGTGCAATTAGTGACAACTGACTCAAACCTGTTTGTTTTTTTTAATCCCTCCACATTTTCTGGCTCCGCCTCTGATGATTAAATAAGAGCAGAAATGACAGGTGCTGGTTGTGCTGGCAAAGCAAACTCTTTATTGGTTAGATCTATTTAAAGCCTATAACCAGACTACTATATTGCAATGAGGCGATCCTGCCGTGATTCGAGCCTAATGTGCAAATCTGGAGATGATGTTAATTTATCAAACTCTTCAACACTTCATTGTTGTTGATAGAAACAAATCCGCCTCTTAGCTACTTTATTCGTCCAGAAGTGTTTATTATTAAAAAAAATAATTCTTTAGAAACATAAGAAAACATTTTTATTCAGACTTAAGGGACCCTCAGTAAACAGTACAGCGAGCGCCCCCCAGTGAGATAAACTGGGTCTGACCCAAAGACAGCTTTGGTTCATTAAGTGTTGCGTATAGGAGCAGATAGCTGATTTCAGATCAGTTCTTTGAATAAGTCAGATGCTGACACTCTAGGACACAGTCAGATCCCAGTCTTCATCCTCATCCTCCTCATCAGCCAAAGCTTCTGAGGGCGAGAACTCGTTGACCTGAAACAGACAGAGTCAGTGTTTACAGGAAAACACAGATTTGGGGAGGGGTGGGGTTACAGGTGAGCTTACCTGCAGGATGTCTTCAGTCTCTTCAGCTTCAAACTGATCTGAGGTCTGTTTCAGCTCCACCATCACCTTACCATTACCTGCAGCAGCAGATCTGAGGTCAGGAAACACACTGATAGTTTCACTTTATCATTTCAATTAACGTGACGCCACCTGTCAATCAATCCTGGAGGCTCATCAGCAACTGACCAATCAGCGGTGTCCATTTGTTCTAAAGTGAAACCACCCTACCCTGCAAGAGCAATTTCTGACATCTTTGTCGATTTTTTACCTAGGAGGACTTACATGTGTATATATATATATATATATATATATATATATATACAAATACACACACACACATATATATATATATATATATATATATATGTGTATATATATACACATATATATATATATGTGTGTGTATCTATCGTATTGCCTGTTGTCTTTCTGCCAATGTTCACTAAGGAGGAAAAAAGTTGCAATAAAGGCAATCAGATAACGCTGTGCTTCATCCTTTGGTCGTTAAAACTTAGCCTGACGTAGTCCGACTCAATTCTAGTCAGAATGAGTCTGATGCTGCTCCATAGAGCTGTGATTATGGGGCGTGTTTCGAACGAACCAGGAAAAAAAATACCTCTGCACTCAATTGGATAGACCTACAACCAATAAGAGCAACGGAGTGCGTGACGTATGTTAAGCGACGCATAGTTGTTGTCCACAAAAATCAAAGCGTGCAGTTTCACGCCTAGAATAAGATGAGCCTTGATCGCGTTTCTCTGTTCCTCTTTTAAAATGAATTTGCTGTCGATATCTTCTAGAACAGACCTAATAGCAGAATCTACTCACCTCAACTCTCCAGCGGCAGCCATTGTTGTTGTCACCTAAGCACGCTTTGGTCACGTGGTTGATTACGTTACTGTTGATCATCTGTCCGTCATCGTATAAAGCCCGCCCTGATATTGGCATACTTGCGCTACTATTGAGCAACGCCAGACCGAACTTCCCGACCTCAAACGTTGTGGGCGGGACTAAGTTCAGAATGGCACCCAGGCTAGTTAAAACTATCCTACCTTTGTTTTTCACTGCTTGTATTTCCACAGTCTCACAGTTGGCGTCACGTCAATAACTCCAATGTATATTAGTGTACTATACTGGAGTAAGGTGGTAGTATTACTAGTGGTAGTATTACTGAAGTAAGGTGGTAGTATTATTGTAGTACAGTGGTAGTATTATTGTAGTACAGTGGTAGTAACTCTAGTGGTAGTATTACTGTAGTACAGTAGTAGTATTATTGTAGTACAGTGGTAGTATTATTGTAGTACAGTAGTAGTATTATTGTAGTACAGTGGTAGTATTATTGTAGTACAGTGGTAGTATTATTGTAGTACAGTGGTAGTATTACTGTAGTACAGTAGTAGTATTATTGTAGTACAGTTGTAGTATTACTGTAATACGGTGGTAGTATTATTGTAGTACAGTAGTAGTATTATTGTAGTACAGTGGTAGTAACACTAGTGGTAGTATTACTGAAGTAAGGTGGTAGTATTACTGTAGTACAGTGGTAGTAACTCTAGTGGTAGTATTACTGTAGTACAGTAGTAGTATTATTGTATACAGTGGTAGTATTATTGTAGTACAGTGGTAGTATTATTGTAGTACAGTAGTAGTATTATTGTAGTACAGTGGTAGTAACACTAGTGGTAGTATTACTGTAGTACAGTAGTAGTATTACTGTAGTACAGTAGTAGTATTATTGTAGTACAGTGGTAGTATTATTGTAGTACAGTGGTAGTATTATTGTAGTACAGTAGTAGTATTATTGTAGTACAGTGGTAGTAACACTAGTGGTAGTATTACTGTAGTACAGTAGTAGTATTATTGTAGTACAGTGGTAGTATTATTGTAGTACAGTGGTAGTATTATTGTAGTACAGTAGTAGTATTATTGTAGTACAGTGGTAGTATTATTGTAGTACAGTAGTAGTATTATTGTAGTACAGTGGTGGTAACACTAGTGGTAGTATTACTGTAGTACAGTAGTAGTATTACTGTAGTACAGTAGTAGTATTATTGTAGTACAGTGGTAGTATTATTGTAGGACAGTGGTAGTATTATTGTAGTACAGTGGTAGTAACTCTAGTGGTAGTATTACTGTAGTACAGTAGTAGTATTATTGTAGTACAGTGGTAGTATTATTGTAGTACAGTAGTAGTATTATTGTAGTACAGTGGTAGTATTATTGTAGTACAGTGGTAGTATTACTGTAGTACAGTAGTAGTATTATTGTAGTACAGTTGTAGTATTACTGTAATACGGTGGTAGTATTATTGTAGTACAGTAGTAGTATTATTGTAGTACAGTGGTAGTAACACTAGTGGTAGTATTACTGAAGTAAGGTGGTAGTATTACTGTAGTACAGTGGTAGTAACTCTAGTGGTAGTATTACTGTAGTACAGTAGTAGTATTATTGTATACAGTGGTAGTATTATTGTAGTACAGTGGTAGTATTATTGTAGTACAGTAGTAGTATTATTGTAGTACAGTGGTAGTAACACTAGTGGTAGTATTACTGTAGTACAGTAGTAGTATTACTGTAGTACAGTAGTAGTATTATTGTAGTACAGTGGTAGTATTATTGTAGTACAGTGGTAGTATTATTGTAGTACAGTAGTAGTATTATTGTAGTACAGTGGTAGTAACACTAGTGGTAGTATTACTGTAGTACAGTAGTAGTATTATTGTAGTACAGTAGTAGTATTATTGTAGTACAGTGGTAGTATTATTGTAGTACAGTGGTAGTATTATTGTAGTACAGTAGTAGTATTATTGTAGTACAGTGGTAGTATTATTGTAGTACAGTAGTAGTATTATTGTAGTACAGTGGTGGTAACACTAGTGGTAGTATTACTGTAGTACAGTAGTAGTATTACTGTAGTACAGTAGTAGTATTATTGTAGTACAGTGGTAGTATTATTGTAGGACAGTGGTAGTATTATTGTAGTACAGTAGTAGTATTATTGTAGTACAGTGGTAGTAACACTAGTGGTAGTATTACTGTAGTACAGTAGTAGTATTACTGTAGTACAGTAGTAGTATTATTGTAGTACAGTGGTAGTATTATTGTAGTACAGTAGTAGTATTATTGTAGTACAGTGGTAGTATTACTGAAGTAAGGTGGTAGTATTACTAGTTGTAGTATTAATGGAGTAGAGTGGTAGTATTACTAGTTGTAGTATTAATGGAGTACAGTGATAGTATTACTGAAGTAAGGTGGTAGTATTACCGGAGTACAGTGGTAGTATTACTGTAATATGGTGGTAGTATTACTGAAGTAAGGTGGTAGTATTACTAGTGGTAGTATTACTGTAGTACAGTGGTAGTATTACTGAAGTAAGGTGGTAGTATTACTAGTGGTAGTATTACTAGTGGTAGTATTACTGTAGTACAGTGGTAGTATTACTGAAGTAAGGTGGTAGTATTACTAGTGGTAGTATTACTAGTGGTAGTATTACTGTAGTACAGTGGTAGTATTACTGAAGTAAGGTGGTAGTATTACTAGTGGTAGTATTACTAGTTGTAGTATTAATGGAGTACAGTGATAGTATTACTGAAGTAAGGTGGTAGTATTACTGGAGTACAGTGGTAGTATTACTGTAATATGGTGGTAGTATTACTGAAGTAAGGTGGTAGTATTACTAGTGGTAGTATTACTGTAGTACAGTGGTAGTATTACTGAAATAAGGTGGTAGTATTACTAGTAGGAGTATTAATGGAGTACAGTGGTAGTATTACTGAAGTAAAGTGGTAGTATTACTAGTTGTAGTATTACTGTAGTACAGTGGTAGTATTACTGACGTACCTAGAAGGATGAGCAGCACTGAGGAAAAGGCCTGAACCAGAGCTTTCTCTCTGACCGACCTCTGCAGCTTACAGCGTCTCTGCAGGAGAACTTCTGGACCTGGACACACAAAAAGACGACGACTGAAACGCAGCAGAACCAAACTATGGGCAGAAGCAGAAAGAGGTTCTGAAACTATTGTTGAAGAACCGAGACAAGACTAAGACTTTATATGATCGTGGTTTCTGCCTCTAAAGGTCTGGTCTGGTCTCTGTACTTCAACTCTATCTACAACAGAAACACAGAAGAGCTGAGGTTCCCATCAGGCTGCTCTTCTGCGTTGTTTGAGCCCCTCCCACTGTAAGACTTAGACAGATTTATTTAGTCATTCTGTACATGAGTGCATACAAAAAGAAATGTTGTTTAAAACAGCTCTAGAGAATTTCATTTTTTGAAGCGCAGCCTTGAAAACAGTATTACATAAATAAAAAAAATAGTAATATAAACATATGAAAGTATATTTACAGTTCTAACAGAGTTCTAACTGTAAGTCACAAATACTGACAGCTCAGCCTGGCTGTGCATCAAACTCTACCTGCAATCAGAGCAGAGAGACTCTACTCTGTCCATTAAAAAGGAGTCATAAGCTTTCAATTCTGCCCTGGATTACAGAGCAGGGTGAAAATATAACGTTAACACAATGAAATGCAGCTTCACTACACTGAAGCTACCAACCACAGAAATGTGGCAAGCTAAGCTACAATGAAATTATCTAAGTAGCTTAAAGGTATAGGGAAGGATCTTTTATTTCATTGTGGATCATCTCAATAAGTGGTCCTCATAATTGTCAATCATTCTGGTGATATGTTTACGTAACGCCGTCCTACATGCTCGTCTCGTTAGCCATCTTTTTTCTGTGCATGCGCATTTCCAGGTGTATATCTGTGGTGAGCTATGGTTTCAGTCAATCATTAAAGCTCACCTTTCTCACCACGGTTCTTTGAAAATAGCAGAGTCGTAAGAGAAAAAGTGTCTACGAAGTGAGAAAAGAAAGGCCCCAGAAGAGGCAGATATATCCCAGAATGCTTTGCGCGGAGAGCTCTCCTCGCAAAACGCTGGGCCCCTTTTTCCAACTAGATCCCCGCTCTTTTTCACCCTCATGTCCCTCTGTGTTCGCACAAATTTCACCCTTGCGTATTTCCACCTCCTCACCACCTGGGCCGTATCTAGACCCACAGCTAGTTCCTGATGGTCCCTCTTGCGTTTTGTGGCGTGGAATAACATAGCAAAAACCATGCTACAATATTGGGCATAAATCTAAAATATCTGCGTCATACTAGCGACACACTGGTGCGGGAGGATAACCAGCCCGTCAGGGTGAACCATCGGACACATTGAGCTTTATGAGCTATGAGAAGAGCAACTTTTACACAGGAGAAATGGGCTTGTGCATGCTCTTTCATTTAATTTTATTTTTCTAAAGTGGAGAGGGCGGTTCTTTTTAAGAAATTAGAGCAAATCCTCCACAATACCTTTAACTACATCCAAACTTCTTTTTTTAAACATCAACCTTCCTTGATTCAAAGTAATTGCTCTCTAGTGATTAAAGAAACAAACAGATCAGTTTAAAATTTCAAATATCAAAATCCAACTTTACTGTTTGGATGTAAATTAAAAATTAAATCTTGCATCTTAGAACCAGAACAATATGTCTCAGACTAATGCAGCAACTGTCAGTGAATCAATCAAATGAAGCCACTGTAAATTAGTATTAGTTTTAATTCAATCTTTAATTTACAACATTGCTTTTGATTTGATTCATTTAAAGGGGCTAAATATCCCGTTTTTCATCCTGGATTATGTCGTCATATTTTTTATTATTCTAGTGTCTTTATCATGTAAATGGTGACATAAAGCAACATTTCCACACACAAAAAAAACATAAATTAAAAGGATCCTCTGCACACGCCACGGAGACTAATGCTAAAATAATCGGCACCCGTTTTAAAAACCTTGCATCTATCGATCGATCTGTAGGTTCTGATTTATATTCATGTATTTCAGAACTCCTCCTCACCTGCACAGGTGAAGCTCTCCTCCACCACTGCGACTCCTCTGGTCGTCACTCCATGCTGAGGAAAGCTGAGCTTCATCATGCAACCGAACCGTAACCGCCGCCGGACCCCGCCCTCATCCTCCTCCTCATCCTCCTCTTCTTCACTTGTCAGTTCCTTCAGCTGTTGGATTCCGACACAAACAGGAAGTCACCTGCTAACTCTCACCCGCCTGGACTAACAGGTGAGCGGAGTGTTTCTCACTGTGATGATGTCAGAGGTCCAGCCATTGAAACCCAGGCAGCGATTGGCCAGCTCCACACAGCGGGCATGGTTCAGAGGTGTGCTTCTGCCAGACAGGAAGTGAGGAGTCTGTTTGGAGCTCAGCTTCACCTGCAGAGACAAACACTATTTCTGAGAGCCAATCAGAAGTCAGAGCTCTGAGGAAAGCGTCGGTGGTGCAGGTAAACGCCACTCAGAGGGCAGCTGCTCACCTTGAGAGCAGGCTGGTGGAGCAGTGGACATCCATCTGTGAGGTTCTGGGCTTTGGCGGCGTGAGCAGCAGAGTAGAACTTGATGATGGCGTAGAAACCAGGTGGGTGGAGAGGAGCATTAGGACACACCTTCAACAGGTAAATAGGTCCAAAGGAGGAGAATGCTTGAGACAGCTGCTCCTGAAACAACAAACAGTAACATCAGAGTGAGTCTAAAGGCCAATTTATGCTTCTGACGCATAGCGTCTGCAACCGTCAGATCTGTCTCTGTGCGTGACCACGCCCCCCGTGCAGAGGCTCTGCAACCATCTTCACGCACCTCAAAAATACCCCGACTACGCGTTGGCGGGTCGCAAACCCGTGCAGACCTGAATCGTGATTGGTCGTTGGTATGCCTTTCCGGCTGTCTGTGTGATCGTCCTTCTCAATTCGTTGTCGGTGCGCGCCATTTTTAAAGACAGAGGAAACACTACAATGGACAACTACGACGAAAGGTTAATCGGTCTTTTTACCAAGTCCATTAACAGAACCTGTTCCTCTTCGATGTCTAGCAACTCTAGCCATCTCTGTGACCGTGATATCTTGCAGACGTGACATTGTTGTTTTGGAGGATAAACACTCCAGCCGGCGCCGCCGAAGTTCTCGCGAGTTCTTGAATAGGCTCCCCCTTGTGCTTTGGCGGGAAACTGCTGTGCGTCCCTAGAAATTCCAGGCCGACGGTGCAGAAGCATGCCAGCAAAACTGTCTGTGGCCTTAGAAGAACGCAAATACAATTTAAGCGTTATCCTAGCCTCGTGAGACCATCCTGATCTCGCGAGCTTTCAAGGTTTCACTCGCAGATCAGTCTGGAGACTCTCCGTTAAAGAAAATGTGGAGCCGTTCACCAAACGAACGTCCAATCAGCGTTGACTTTGAGGCGGGTTGAGGTGTGACGCAACGAGAAGCGCGACAGTTCAGTCTAAAGAACATGGTGGCTTCAGCCGATGAAACTAGCGTTAGCGTGGCTATCGAGCAAGTTTTATGGGAATTACAGAGTATTTCTTCACTGAAAGAAGAGCAAAACACTGCTCTGGAGGCTTTTCTCAGATGTACTCGCCTATTGCAACATTTTAGTGCTGGATCGAGGCCCCGCCTGATATCGGTTTCGGTGAAATTGTAGTTTTTAGGGTATGAAAGTTATTAAACTTTGGCAACAACATATAAAAGCAGACAACTCTGCTCTCCAGAGCAAGTAGATTCATAACCTGCTCTCCTCTATCTTGTCTGCTGTCACGATTCATGCAGCTATTATTTCACCCAGATCACAGCTTGTCTACAGTGAAAAGAAGGACTGGGTTATTTACTTTTGCCGTCGCCTTTTTGGAAACACACGAAGGAGCAATCAGCTAAGTTAGAATGGGCTTAATGATTGGATTCATTTTGAGACAGCGTTAAAAGTCAGCTGAGCATGTTAGCAATATGAAAAGAAAAAGGAAAAAAGAAAATATAATGATGAAAACAGCAAGAAAAGTATAAGAAGAGAGGGACAAAACATAGAACAAATAATGTAGGTCTATTCTATTAACATTTCTGTATCTGTATAATGGGTCTGTTTTCTGTGTGCTCTTCTTAATTCAAAGGGGCCTACACCTGTCTATGCCTAGGGCCCCAAATTTCTTAAATCCGCCCCTGACCATAAATTAATAGGATTTACTGCCATAAACATTAGAACATTGATGACGCCACAACCTTTTTAGCTTAGACTTACATAAACCTGATCCTGGGTCACAACCGGCGGGATGTCCCAAACGAATAGGGTCTTGTTATTTTCCACAGGGACCCTGAACTGCAGGATGTCCACCTCCATGCGAGAAAACAAACCAGACTCCGTTTAAAAACTCTCCGTTTTTAACTTGGTTTCCGCCTCAGCTCAAAACCGCTCTGTCGGAGCCCGATTGGAAAACAGACTTCCGATTTAGAAGAGCTACCTGAACCTTCGGCATGATGCCAACTGTTTACACCATGAAACTGACGGGAAAAAATGGATCAACTCTTAACTTTCTCTGCTGAGACGGTCCTGCCTGCATTGAAATCGCGGGTTTCTGACTGGGAATCGGTGGGCGGGTCTTCGTCTTCTCTGTGAGGTGTAATAGCGGTTGAGTGCGCCTTACCGCCACCTACCGGTATGGATTGTGGAACAAAATTACAACATTCTAGCTAATATATTTACCTGCTTTACTTTATATCCTAAACATAATAATCGATTATCCTCCATCTTTATTTGATATTATTATTATTTATAATTAACAATATTCTATACTTTTATGTTTTATTCTTAGTTTGATAACCTTAATCCTTCTACTGTTCCTTTTATTTATCAATTGTATTTATTCATAACCTATACATGTATTCATTAAATCACTTTCCATTTACTATTATTTAAACCAGTTTTCAGAATGAAGATTATTATTTTTTATTTTTTTCCTACTGCATTATTCAACTGTGCAGCAATATTTTCAAGCATCAGCTCCCGAGTAAAACCCACATTTAAACGTCCTTTTCCTTTTAATTTAATTGAACTTTATTGATTTCACACAGTGGACTGTGCAGGACCCAGGAGCAGTTTAGGATTAAGGGTCTTGCTCAGGGACCCAGAGTGCAGGCTGTGCGGATCAAACCGGGTACTTGCAACCTCAGAGCACAAGTGCACTGCTCTAACCACTTGGCCAACACTTCCTATTTTATTTCACACCTACTGACTTGAATAAAAACATGTTCTGTTGATTCTGTTGTATTACACCCACTGCACCAGTGAGATGTTTCCAATCTTAAAAAGTGCCACCCACCTTTCAACTTTATTTACCCTCTGTTGAAGTTATAGATCTATATATTTCATTTTCCATAATGTGGTATGATTAGCAAAAAGGGATTTACCATAAATCTGAGATAATGTAACTGAAAGTAACACTGGACTTACCTCACTTCCTTGAGAAATTCAGTTTTCTATTTTACACCTCTTTGAAACATGTCATCCTACTTTAACTACGGATAGTCCTTTCACACAAAAATGTTTCTTTTTATTTCTATTTGATGTCATTTAATCGTTAGATATTCTCTCATAATTATATTATAGACCTATTATTACATCAGAAAGACAACTCCAACAATCGCCTTATTGATTTAGGCTTTCCTAAAATCATCTTTTAAACATACAGCAGGATCCTGGGTTCCTTTATCTCTACAAAAACCACTTTGATAGGGAGCGGAAATATTTCTTGACTCTAAATATTGAATTAATCTCTAATTTTCTATCCTTTTTCTATCAATTTACACATACTAGAGGTGAAAAGAGCTGATCTATACTTTTCCAGGTTACTATGTTCCTTTCCAGGGTTCGTTATTGGTATTATAATTGGTTCTTTCCAGCTACTTGGGAGCTTCTCTTCTTCTCAAATGTTATTACAAATCAATCAGATAATGAAAACTTTATTACTGAATGTTTTAACATGTTGTAGATGACTCATCTTTCCTAGTTCTATTTAATTATTGACTAGAAAATAGAACATTAAGTATATCTTTCATGACTCTGCCTTCCTTGTTTATCTACCATTAGTTTTTTTGGATAAAACCTGTTCAACCCTCACCATGCTTCCACTGTTGGTATACCGTTGGTGCTCCACTTATTTTTTAGCTTTAGTGAGGATGTGGGCAGCAGCATTCTGGATCAACTGCAGCTGTCTAATTATGTTTTTTAAGAACTTAAAATAAGTCCTGAGGTAAATCCCTACATATCCTGGATTTCTGGTTTTAGAAAGCAGAATAGCTGTTATCCAGTGGCAGCTCGATGGAGTTTTCTACAGAGAGAGATTTAACTTCAAAATAAACCTATTAACACACTGCAGTTTTTTCAATCGTTGCACGTAGCTGTACAATGAAGGCACAGGGTTTCGTCGTACTGTGTGACTTCACATGTATGTCCAGCACGACGCTCTGATGCCATCTACATGCCACACTGTATGTCTAAAAGATTAGATTTATATTAGATTAGATTCAACTTTATTGTCATTACACAGGTACAGGTACAAGGCAACGAAATGCAGCTTAGGTCTAACCAGAAGTGCAATAGCAGCAAATGCAGGATAAATAATGGTTCCATAAATACAGGACATGGGTTTCTACTGCGTGAGTAAAGAGATGAATACTATTATAAATGATGAATATAATATATAGATCACTAGTGTTATGAACTGAATTTACATCTGTATATGTACCGAATATAATATACAGGTGGATATTACAATAAAAAAGGTTTTTACAGTTATGTACAATAGCATATATACAGATGGGTTTTACTATAAAATGAATAAATAAAGTTTGCACAGAAACTATCTAAATTAAAGCTGAAGTCTGTAAGTTTTTAAAAATCACTTTTTTGTCATATTGGCTAAAACTGTCCCTATGCCCAGACAGCAGTACATGTGATATTTAACCTGTGAAAAAAACTGCTTCAATTGGTCCCGCCTACTGCCTGTATTTCAATCTGGAAAGAATAATTCGGGACGAGTCAAAACAACCAATCACAGCCAGAGGAGCGTCTGATGGAGTGTCAATCACAGCTCACACACGCTGAATACCCCCCCCCCCCCCCCCCCCCCCCCCCCCCCCCCTTCTGGTCGCATGCGGTAGCCGCGCAGATGCTGTGAGAGGGGTGGAGCTTGGATGTGGGGTGGGGTGAAGCAGAGAGGGTGGGGGAGTGGCGTGAAACCTGTTTTTCTTCAAATTTTCAGTCGAAGTCTGCTCTCTCCTCAATGTTATAGACTGCAGCTTTAAAGTGCAGTGGAAGGTAATTGCATATTACAGTTAAAGTACGTTATTGCAAATGTATATGTAAACAATTGCTACTGTGAATAAACAGTCGGCAGTGCAAATATAAGCAGTCGGATTCAGCTCCGCAGTGACATGGAGTTAACCTGACTCGTCTATCCGGAAGCAAAACAAGTAGGAGAGGAATATGAAGCTCACTAGAGTGAAACACACTGCTTTGGCAATTTGTGTAATTTTGTGCTGAAAGCCCTAAAAAGAAAAGGAGACGACATATTTGGACAAAGACATGGATGAGCAAATGTGGCTACTACGGTCTGTCAAGAACTCTATTTCACTCCCACCATCCATGCTTCTGTGTTTACATCTGAGAGGAAGAAGAAAAAGAAGAATACGTGTTTGCGCACTGAGCGATTTTCCCAGGATGGACCTCATGATTCCTGATCGGGAGGTGGTCGTGAATGGCTGTATCACTTATCCCCTGTACACTACACGATGCACGCTGCACAATCAAGCTGAAGGTCTGACCCATCAGAAAATTCTCGCATAACTGGAAACTCGCCCCGAAAAGGCAGAAAAAATCGCATGGTCTAAGCCCGGCTTAAAAAAAAAAACAATCAAATGTATATTAAGGGATAACACCAGTATATTTACATGAATGCAAAAAACATTCTAAAATGTTCTGAAAAGTGCTTTAAATCAGTCATAGATGTTTTAATCCATGTTGGGTAAGATCCTGACATTTGAAAAAGGAGGCAGGGAAAGCAAAATAAAGCATTAGCCTCGCTGCATGCAGTTAGCCAAGCCTTGTTGCATAATAATTATATTACTTGTCAATCAGCCACACTTTTTAACAGACGATTGTGACGTCAGTGCTGTGGTGGGAGGTAGGGTCATCTTGTGCATTTTGGGCTGAAATACGTCACCAATCCGACGACCAATTAAACACTAAACATTTATCTTGTGCATCTAAAAAAATATATTAATATATTTTGAAATATTTGTTTTTTTTTTATGTCCTAATCACGGTCGTTGGGTGAGTGGGGAGTGGGGCGGCACCCTGGAACCCTCTATCTGGCCAGTCGCCACTGCTGTAAAGTTTATACTGCATGTTTTATGCTGAGGCTTAATTTTTATGCATCAGGTAAACTGTTAGAGCGTAATATTAAACCTTTACCGTACACCACTGATGCCCTTCAAACAGAAACGGATTTATTTATATCAGCTCTCTCCAAAGCAATGATAAAATACTTGTTTAAATTATTGTATATGTGAGTGCCGTTCAATTATGTTTTACTACAGAGCTTGCAGACAGACAAGCTCCATAAACATTTTAGTAATGTATTTTACTGAATTAACTCCCTCCCCTTCTTACACACATTTCTAACCATTTTTACAGCCTAACCGTGACCCTTACATTAAACCTAACCATTATGCGTTCATACCTAACCCCAACCTAAACCAAATTCACACCTGCACAAAAACCCTGACCGCAAAACAGAAATTCCCCTGATGGGCTCCAGGCATCGGGCCTCACAAGGCGAATTTTTCTAGAAAACGGGCACCACAATGTATCAAATACAAGAACACACACAGCTCAAAAACACACGATGAATGAAAGTAAAATTGAAGACAATAATATTTTGCAGCAGGAAAAGCAGAAAAACTCTCATCTTCCCATCATTCATATTTTAAGTTCCAGTGGTTGAGAGAGGCACACTGTTTGCCATTATCCATTGGGTTTTCCAAGCTCCATTAATGAGGGCTTCTTATTTTGCTCAAACTTACTCAGAACTCTGAGGGTGACTTAACTTAGCTGAGTCACCTTAGCTCTATGAAGGAAAGTTTTTTGTTTTTTGTCTGCACCAACAACTCCAAGTCAAATTCCTTGTAAGTGCAAACCTACTTGGCAATAAACTTGATTCTGATTCTGAAACTCTATGAATTCATCAGGGTTGATGATATTACCTGTCAGAGGCGTGCACAGACATTTTGGGGGGCAGGTGCTCAGGAGGGGGGGGGGGGAGGGCACTTTTTAGCGCACGTGTAACACTTAATTATAAAAAAAAATAAACGCATGTTGAATGAAATTTGACTTTTATTTGTAACATTCTCTAAACGTGAGTTTTCAATGGAAAAAAGTCACATCACCAACAGAACAGACTAAAGCATACTTCTTTCATCTGGCTCATCTCCCTGTTTTCCCTCACCCATCTGTTCTCCCTCATCCTGGTCTTTTTCTGTCTCTGTGTCTTCCCTGAACTCTTCTTCATCTCCTGTCCTGGTAGATGTTGA